GAGCGCAACGGCCGATGCTATGCCGGCCCGAAGCTAGGATCCAGGAACCTCTTCTGGGTATCCCACACAGGTGAAGGGTCCCAAAGCTTTGGGCCGTCCTCGACTGCTTTCCCAGGCCACAAGCAGGGAGCTGGATGGGAAGTGGAGCTGCCGGGATTAGAACCGGCACCCATATGGGATCCCAGTGCGTTCAAGGCAAGGACTTTAGCTGCTAGGCCATGCCGCCGGGCCCGCAGCTATCTCTTTATACTTTTAATGAAGCTGATTTTTAAAAGGTAGCACAAGACAAGCGCTGTGGCACTGCAGGTTAAGCTCCTGTCTGGGTGCCTGGAATTCAGTCCCGTCTCAGTTCCACCCAGCTTGAGAATGCAGCCTGAGAGGCAGCAGATGCTGACAGCCCTGGGGGAGACCCAGATGGAGTTCTGGGCTCTTGGCTTCCGTCTGGCCCAACCTGGCTGCTGTGGGCACTTGGGGAGTGAACCAGGCGATGAAAGACCTCTCTTTCTCTGCTTTTTGAGTAGATGAAAGTAAATGAATAAACCTTTTTTTAAAAAAATAAAAACACCTGGGTCTGGCACAGTAGCTTAGTGGCTAAAGTCCTTGTCTTGCATCCACTGGAATCCCATACAGGCACCAGTTTGTGTCCCAGCTGCTCTGCTTCCCACCCAGCTCCCTGCTTGTGGCCTGGGAAAGCAGTTGAAGACGGCCCAAAGCCTTGGGACCCTGCACCCACAGGAGGCCTGGAAGAAGTTCTTGGCTCCTGGCTTCAGATTGACTCAGTTACGGCCACTGTGGCCACTTGGGGAGTGGAACTAGCACACGGATTTTTCTGTAAATTTGATTTTCCAATTAAAAAAAAATCTTAAAGAAATAAATACCCTGTATGAACACTCCTGTGGCATAATATGTTAAGCCTGTATGAGCTGGTACCCCCTATAGTCACCAGTTCGAGTCCCAGTTGTTCCACTTCTGATCCAGCTCTCTACTTCTGGCCTGGGAAAGCAGTGGAGAACGCCTCAAGCCATGGGGTCCCTGCACCCACATGGGAGACCCAGAACAAGCTCCTTACTTTGACCTGTCCGGCTCCAGCTGTTGCAGCCACGTGCGGAGTGAGCCAGTGGACGGAAGACCTCTATCTATTTTTCTCTGCATTTCTGCATTTCAAACAAACAAACAAACAAAAAAAACAAAACATATCTTTTTTAAAAAAATCAAGATGGACTGGAGGGCAGAAGGCAGAGTTGAATCTAGCCTCTACATCATCCTCAGCCTCACCTTCAGAGGTAACCACAGGTGCCAGTCTCTAAAGACAGCGGATCCATTTGTGCATATACGATTTTCACAAGGTCGCAAATGGGAGCATACTATGGTTCCACCACCTTAGCAAGGTGCCTGGGAGAGATTTCTGGGTCCTTGTATGGGACCTCTTGCTCCCCTTACGGAGACAGGAGCGTAGTTTTTGGGTGTATATAGTTGCCTCTTGCTCCTCTTCACTCACTCATTGCTGCATCCCTCTGGCCCCGGCTTTGCCCAGTCTAACACAGACTTGCACCTCACCCCAAAGCCACCACTCAGGGCCACTCTGCTCTCAGCTGCCTGCAATCCCAAGAATTCCCAGCAGAGGGAGACACCACTCCACTGCCAAGACCACCAAGGGGTCTTCCCTGCCTGGTGGAGGTGGGTGGATTCAGGGACACCAATCCTTGAAACCTCTGGGATAGGCAAGCTATGCCCAGACAGGCACAAAGGCCCCCTGGCTGGCCTGGAGTGGCCTCCCGCCTCCAGGCTGGCCTTCCTGTTTATATCCCCCACCCACTGAGTGCCCGTGGTTCCTCCTTCTAGGATCTAGCCCCACCTCAGTGCGGGTGGAAGGAGGCCTTGTCCTATTCTGGGGCCTGAGATGTCGAAATTACCCGCAGGAATGGGCCGGTAACTGAGCAAACCAGCATTCCTTCACCTTCCCGCCATGATGAGAAGTGGGGTGTTGTGTGGGGATCCTGTTCCCTGCTCCCAGCGGTGGCCTTTCCCCACCCCCACCGCCATGTTGGGGTCGCCCGGAGTCCAGCTGGTGACCACCCCTTCACTGGCCCTGCCCCTCCCCGTGACCCCAATCCTCCGCCAGCCACTCAAAGGCGCCTTGTTCTTCGTCCAGCCCCCGGACAAAAGTCCCTCTGTGCAGAAAGCGGAATTGGGGGGAGGGGGCACCCCCAACTGGGACATGGGGGGGGCTGCACAGACCCAAGCCGGAAGGAATGCCGGAGGAGGAGGAAGAGGTGTGGGAGGAGAGGGGGTGCAGGAGAGGGCTTCACCTCCCGCAGGGGGGCCTTGATGGGACGAGGCAGCTTTCTCCTGCCACCCCCTCCCCCACCCCTGTCCTCTCCTCCAACCAGGGTCCTTTCCAAGCACCAGGCATCTGGCTCCCAGCTCCTCTGGACAGAGCCTGGTCTAAGAAACTCTAGGCTTGCACTCGGGTCCAGATCTCCACTGCAGGGTGGGGGTGTGGTTGGGTCCATAGTCCCCCACCCCAGCCCTGTGTCCCACAGAGTCTCCCCAGATGTGTCCCACACCCCCAGGGCCTCGGTGATGGCGGTGCACTCTGCTGAACCTCAAACCTTGGGACTCCAGCTGGAGTCCCCTGTGGGAGAGCAAACCGTTCCCACAAAACACACAAGCCGGGGCTGTCATGAGGAGGTGCTTCAGCCACTTCCTCTGCCCGGAATGACCCCACACTTTCCCTCTCACGGTCCTGTTCCAAGTCCCACTCTCCCCCACACCTCACCTGAGGCTGCTACCATCCCGGGGCACCCTGGGGAGCTGCTTGCAGCCCCGTGGTGGCCACGGAGGGGTGCAGCTATCTCTTTAAGAGCAGGGACGGGGTGGGGGAGCCCCAGAGCCTGGGGAGCCAGACTTGTTCTCTACCTGCCCAGGTTTGCTCAGGGCGTGGCAGTCGTGGATAAAGGCAGGACCGGCTGGCAGCCCCTACTTTCTCTACTTTTTCCAGAACCTTGCTCTGCGGCGAGCCCCCAGGTAAGCTACCGGGCCCTCCCCAACTCCCCCTTGTGTGGCCCCCCCCACAGCATCTGCTACACAGACACCCCCCTCCCTGCCTCTCCTTAACTACTACCTCATTCATCCCTTACTGGTGGTGCCGAGCCGATGAGAAGTGAGGGTACCACCATCCATGGTCTTGGGGTATCTGGAAATGCAGAGGAGCAAGGGTACAGCAGGGAGGGGCTCCCAGGAAGATGAAGGCAGCCAAGTGGAGCAGGAGAATCTGTGTGGTTGTTTGGGTCTGGGGGCACCCTGACCTGGAGCTGTGTGGGTCTTGGGGGAGCTGTGATGGGAGTGGGGGTGCTGGTTGGGCTACTCTAGGACAGGGGGTACAGGGGCCCGCTGAGGGTGGGAACAGAAGCTGTCCTGCTTGCCATCAGGATCTGTGCAGGCAATGCAGGGAGAAGCCAGCTGCCATATGTATCCTCTGCCTCCATGTTCACCTATAGTGTGGTGGGTCCCGGAGCAGCCCAGGACCCCTCCATGGGGCACCAAGGGCACACACCCAGCTTGCAGCAGCCTCCGGCAATCCTGGGCTAGAGAGAGTTTGTTGGGTGGGGATGCTGGGTGTGGTCATGGGGGAGGCCACCGGTGGCTGGAAGAGCCCGTGGAAAGAGGTTGAGCAGCTGCAACTCAGCAGGCCCAGGGCAAGGGAGGCATGTGACAAGTGACTGCATTTGAGGAGCCTGGTGGGTGGCCATGGCAGTGTGACACAAGGATGGCGCAGGCCTGGAAGATGACATGAGAGAGGAGAGCAGGTGGTCTAACTGCAGGGACTGGCATCCTTGAGGGTTCACAGAGCCGGGGAGGGGGGCACCAGCTGCAGATCGGTGCCCCTCTCTCCGCCACCAGCCCTCCCTGTTTGCTCACTCCAGCTCTGCCCCCAAGATGCTGAATGCCTTAGGAGTGATTTCCCTCAAGAAGCAGCTCCTGGATTCCAAGGAGGAAGCCAGACCTGCTCCCTGCTTGCCTGGGACCCACCAGCATCCCCTCACCCCCAGCCGCCTCCCACCGAAGTCTGAAGGGGACACATGACAAGCTGCTGTACCACTAGTGCATACAGCACAGCCGGCTCCAAGCCCAAGTCTCATTGACCAGCAGTGAAATGGGGACCGGATGGTGACCCCACTCCTTGTTGGAGGGTTGAATGGGTGAAGGCGCAGTGAGGGTCCAGCACAGGCAAGCCAGGACTAGCTCTTGCTGTCAAGTTCATGGCCAGAGATGATTATAGCAGTAGGGCAGGGGGCAGGGAGCAGGCAGGAGTGTATGGGGAAGCTTAGGACCGGCGTCCAAGGTTGTGGGAGGTGAAAAGGGGAGGAAGAACTTTCTGGACAAACCTGCCCTAGGGAGGGCGGGACCGTTTGCTGCACAAGGGCCTTGGTAGGGCCCCTATTGGGATAGGGAGGGGATGGCAGGGGAACCTGCCTAGGGGTAGAAGTGGGGCGGCAGCAGGGTGGGGAAGCCAGACAATGTAGCTGAGGCTGAGTTTGGACACCCCAAACCCTGCACCCCACAGAGGGGGGCTGGAGGATGCAGGCAGGCCTGGGCAGCTGGTTGGCCCCAAGCTGGAAGCTGCAAGGCTGGGCAGAACCAGGCAGGCTCTGTACTGTCTATGGCTCACACCCCGGAACCTGGGCCCCCTGCCACTTGGCACCCTAATTCCCCAAACACCCTGAGGCCCTAACAGACCTGACTTGGCGAGCAGCAGCCCCTGGGGAGCCAGCTGGAGTTTTTAGCTAGAGTTTTTACATCTGGCTTCCCAGCCAAGTGGACGACCAAGGCATTCACTCTGTACGTCCCGTCTGCAAGATGGGCTAGCAGCGGGCAGAACCGCCCGAGGCCGCCCTGGTGTCCAGTGGGTTTCGAGAGCTGCTGTGTCTCAGGCTTTGGCTCCTGCCCAGCCCCCACTTGACTCTAGGGTTCCCGCTTATCATTTGGGCCCAGAGTCTTTATGTCACCTTCCTGGGTGTCGCCTGGGCCTTGTGCCCTGACGGGGGAAAGGGCAGAGGGCGAGTGGAAAGGGCAGGAGGAGAGTGGCGGGAACCGGAGGCGCAGGGCCAGCAGCCTGGTGCCCTGCTGAAGCCGCACCTGTCCCCTGGACTCTTCTAGGCCAGCGCTGACATGCGGGAGGTGGTCTTGTGCCTGCTCGCCTTCCTAGTAGGTGAGTGACCCCCCTTCCCCCCAGCCCACACCTCCTCCCTGGACTCCCTGGCTGGCCAGGCCTCCCGGTCTCTCCCCTGGAGTGTGACAAGTGTCACCTGTGGGGGAGGGGAGATTTTAAGGACAGGGTCTCTGATAGCTGTGACTGTCTTGCCACCATCTTATTTGTCTTGTCACTCTTCTAAGGGAGGAAGGCTCCTGCTGGGAGCCTGGTGATGATGTCACAAGCTCTGGGGATGCCCTGTGCCTTGGTTTCCCCATCTGTAAAACCAAACTACTCCAAATGCCACTGTGAGGGTTCAAGGAGTTAATATTAGCAAAGTCCTTGGAACAGCACCTGGCACCTGGCACCTGGCACCTGGCACCTAATGCTGTGCTTCACATGCAATCAGAAAGTCTTAATCTCCTGCTGATAAAGAGTTCAGGCCAGAGCTGAACCCCAGCATTGAACCCCAGGTCTCTGCCTCCATTGCATTGCTTTCTGCCCACTCCACCCAGGGGGGTGACATCAGGGTGCATTTTGGAATAAAGCGGATTGAGGTTGGTGACGCTGCCTTTTGACGGGCAAGGAGACTCAACATGGCCTGGAGCAGGGCTGGACGGAGCAGAAACCCAAGGATGGCTGTGGGTGGCACAGACTCTGGGCAAACAGGGTCTTGGGGATTGGAACCACCTATCACCTTGACAAGAAAAAAAAATCATGGTCCTGTACCTGGAGACAGAGGACCAAAGGTGACCAGGAACCGTTGAGATTAGAACCCACTTCAGACACCAAGGCAGGGGCCGAGGGAGTGCGCAGAGGCCATGAGTATGGGATCTCAGGGTGGGGTTCAGGCTGTGGGGGGTGAGTACGCGATGCTCCCGGAAGCTGCGTGAACCCTGTCCCAGGACTTCTGAGGCCAGCCTTGTCACTTGCCCCTCCCCTGCTTGTTCCCGTCAGGCCTGCCTGCCCTGGATGCCAATGACCCTGAAGGTAAGTCACACCCCAAGGTGGCTCCCGGGAGGCCTGCATCCTGCCTGTGGTCCTGAGTGACCATGTCCTGTTTTCTTTTTCTACAGATAAAAACAGTCCCTTCTACTACGGTGAGCTCTGGTGCAGTTCTGGGCTAAGGCTTCCACGCAGTGTGGGCTAGGGGTGCGATGGGGGTGGCCCAATGGGCCAGGCTAGCCAGGGGCTAGGAAGCGGCATTGAGCAGTGGCCCAGTGGAACACGCATGCCACCCTGGTGTTCCAGAAGATTCCAGTAATTTGGTTACACATGAGCAGGAAGTGAGTTTGGCTCCCCGGTGCCACTTCTGCCCCAGCCACCCCAGGCTCCTTCCTCTCTCCTCGGATGCCCTGCCAACCCCAGAACCTTGGCATGTGCTGAGCTCAGTGCCTGGGACATGTACATTCTCCCCTCGACCACCTTGTCTGCTCTCTTTCTAACTCCTGCTGCTGGGGCTTTCTCCAGCTAACCCAACAGGCAGCATCTCACCAGCCACTTGTTGGGGAGGTAAACTGCAGGGAGAGAATCTTGCTTCTGCTGTAGTCCCAGCATGAAGTGCATCCCAGATGATCAATCCAGATTAGCCAAGTAGATGGGAGGCCCCCTGGGGAGGCCCGTGCTGGCCCGCAGGGTCAGGGTCCCTCTGGCTTTCCTCCTAGACTGGCACAGCCTCCAGGTGGGCGGAGTCATCTGTGCTGGGATCCTGTGCGCCATGGGCATCATCGTCCTCCTGAGTGAGTTTCCCAGGCCATCTGGGAGGGATGGAGGTGGTGGGGGGGAAGGGCAGGGGAGGGGCAGGGCCACAGGTCCCCTCCCTAGACCTCTCACCTCCCCTCCCCTCCTACCCACACAGGTGGGAAGTGCAAATGCAAGTTCGGCTAGAAGCCCAGGTAAGACCTTCCTCCTGGCCAACCCCTCCTTTCCATCTCACACTGTAGAGAAAAAGCTTTGCAGAGCCAGCAATGCAGAAAGCTGCTTATTCATAGCTGATAATCCCCAGGGCCCCACCTCACTGCACTTCACCTCCCAGCCCAGCCTGGAATGCCCTCATCCCTGGTACCAGACAACCCCACAGCAGAGACATAGCCAGGTCTGGGCAAGCTGAGACGCCTGTAGCCCGCAGGGGCGGGTTCTGACATCAAGGCTTGTTTATTTCCCTAGTCACCACCGCCCTGCCCCCGCCTCTCATCACTTCAGGTAAGGCAGGGACAACCCCCAGACTGGGATGGGAGGGGAAGGCGGGGTGTGGGCGATGGGTGACAGGCACCTACCGTGTGTCCCCAGGAGACAGAAGCTGACCTACCTTCACATGTGGCCCCATCGCTTCTCCCAGGCTCTGCCCCTGACTGCTGAGGACGGATGGATTGGCCCCAAAACATGGATGGCCTGCCTCTGTGCCCCTTACCCCACCCCACCCTGGGCTTACACCCAAACCTGCCCACCAGGATGGCACCCCAACCCCCAGGGCTCCCTCAACTCACCCCTCAATGCAGGGGGGTGTCTTCTTACTCTATTTTTAACCTGAAACTACCGTGCCTATAGCCAGAGCAGCCTCTGCGTGTGCCACTGTGGGCTTGGGAGGTGGGGAGGGGTTGGGGTCTCCTGGGGAACAGCCAGCAGGCTTCCCAAGGGGAGGTCCTCCCTCGCCTCGGCTGCTGGCAGCGGGCAGCCTTGCATGCAATTTCAGCTTTTCTAGTAGTCAAGCAGGGGACGCCTGTCAGAGTGAACCACGTGGACTGCAGGACACTCGTGGTTCTGGGGTCACCCAGGGGAAGCAGAACGGATGTCATCCTAGTGAGATGGGGAAACCCCAATATACTCCAGCAGCTTTCCCAATATCCAGTGTTCCTTTAAGGAGGCCCATTACGTAACTCCCTATGGAACCCTTACTGCAGCCGCATGGCCTACACTCTCTTGAGACTCCTCAGTACCCAATAAGGCATCTGAAATGTTGCCATAGCCTTCCAATAAAATGCCTCAAATTGTTCCAAAACACCCAAAAATATCTCTTGCAATGCTTGGAACGTTATCTTCCAAAGAAGCCCACAAACCCGCGCCTTCCTTCCCCGAGCGTGCCTTCTGTCCCTTGGCCATTCCATGAAGTCCCCTTCGCAGTCCCCCACACCAGCTCCCGGACCACCAAGAACCCCCGGGTGGTCCTGCGGGAACAAGCCACACACCTCCTGGAGGGGCTTCCTCCCCTGATGTCCCGGGGGTCCCTTCACGCGCGGGGCAGGTGCACGGCATATTTATTGATCTTACACACTTTCTGTCCTTGCTCTGATCATCCTCTGGGACGGCCAGGGGTCTCCAAGGATCCCCCAAATGCCCTAGCTTCTCCACCAGGACCCACTCTCCACCTGCGCATGCGCGACAGGGAGAAGCCGCCCAGGAGCCGCCGGCGGCAGCAGACATGCGCACAAGCGGCAGAGGGAGTTAGTCCAGCAGGGAAAGCTGCCCAGCAACTGTGACGTCACGGAGGCCCTCCTCCCAGGAAGCGATTGATTGGCCGGATTGCATTCGGACTCCGCAAGGATGCTGTCTGCGGGCCCACCGACCCTGCAAGAGCAGCTTGGCCAGGCTCCGGGGCTGGGATTTTCCAGTTGTCCACGTGCATGCCCAGATCCTCCAAGGAGTGGGCCGGTGGCGGAGGAACTCGGCCTGTGGTCAGCGTCTCCCAGAACCCGCCTCGCCCCGAGTGTCCACGCCAGCTCCTAGCCCCGCGGTCCGGGGTTAGGCGCTGAGGTCTAACTCGCGGTGCTGGTAGACCTGCGTGGGGCCCTTGAAGCAAGCCGCGAACAGGAAGCGTCTGCCAGCCACGGCGATGTGGGCGAAGGCCCGAGGGGCCACCAAGGCCGGAGGCCCCAGCTCCTGCAACGGCTCCAGAAGCCCCTTGTCAGAGTCCAGACGCAAGACCTGACTGAAGGCGAAGTCGCTGCCCAGGATGGCCAGCTGGTCCCTGGCGATGAGCAGCGGCTGGAAGACGTGAGCTCCTCGCGAGGGGAGCTGCTGCAACAGGCGGAACATGGAGCCGTCCCAGCGCATGACCTGGCGGGGAGGCAGGTGGGAGGGGCACCCAGTTAGGGCCCTCTGCTCCCCGTTCCTCCCACCTCCTCCCAGTCTCCCCATTCAGGCATGCTGTGAGCACAGGAGTCAGACCAGGGCCTTCCTGGTTGCACCCCACTCCAGGAAGAGAATGGGGGAGGAGTAAGCAAGTCTTGGGGATCCAGCATGTCAGCTTGGGCATGGGCATGCAACTGGGGGGGGGGTGTCCGAATTACAGAGCCAGAATTTTGGGGGGGACAGTGATGGCAAAAGCAAAAATCTTAATGCCACAGTCAGGACTTGGCAGGGGTGGGGTGGGGGACAGGGAGTGTTGAGCTGGGGTCAAAGTTCAAAGGTCAGATGTAAGACAGGGGTCCCTTTAGGAAGATCCTGTGCATAGTAGGGTCAGTGCTGAAAGACCAACACGCCCCTATCCCCACTGCTGCCACCAGCACTTGGGGGGGTGGGGAGTAGCTGCTAGCCTTGTGCCCATCCCCCAGCGGGGACCTCACCATGGAGTCCCCGATGTAGCGGGTAAGGCACAGGAAGACGTCTCCGCTGGCCTGGAAGTGGCGCGTGGCATAAACGTCTTCGGCTTCGGGGATGTCCGTGCGCCTCTCAAAGCGGCCCCCGAGCCAGTGGAAGAGCACGGGCCGCTGTGAGGCCGAGGCCAGCAGCAGGTGGGGCCGTCCGTCCAGTTCCAGGGCCTCAGCATCCGTGTCCCGGTGCCAGGCATGCAGGCTCTGGCGCGGGTAGAAGCCGGGCCCGTCTCGGCATAGCAAGGTAGTGCTGCCCGCCTTGGAGGCATCAGCCACCACGAAGCAGGGGTCCCCTTCCAGCCATAGGAGTTCGGCGTCGTTGGGCCGCAGCAGCCTCCGTGGGGCCAGGGCCTGGGTCAGGGTCAGGCGCAGGTCTGGGCGGGACCGCTCCCACAGCTGGGAGCCACCCCACAGGCGGGCGGCCAGCACAAAGAGGCGAGGGCCCAGCACCAGCGGTTTGCAGGCTACCACCGAAGGTGCTGGGAGGCAATGGGGGGGCGGGGCGGGGTGTAACGGAACAGGTCAGACAGGCTGGCCAGCCCGGGGCACTAGGGGCAGGCGGGTGAGTGGACAGGGGGCTCACCTGCCAGCTCTTCCTTGGGCTGGAAGCGCTGCAGGCTGTAGTCCCAGGCGAGGATCAGGCAGCGGCCAACAAAGGGCTGAGCCAGGATGACATGGGGCTCCCCCTGGTAGGAGAAGGGCTCCACGCCCAGTGCCGACTCCCGGACTGTCTGGAACCAGGACAGCTCTGGGAGTGGCAGGAGACAGTTAAGCCCGGAGGTCCTCCTCCCTGAGACTTAGTTTCTCGGTGGCACCTGTCCCTCACCATGGCATAAGCGTGTCTGCATGCTAAGCTGTGTGGTATGGCCAAGTGGCTGCCCGTCGCTCCCTGGCATGCTGAGTAACTTGTCCAGTGTCACGGCGTCCCTTCGAGGTGTCAGCTTTTATCATCATCCCTGGAGGCTCAGTAACCCTAGCGGCTGGCTGCCCGAGGCCTCCCAGCCTCCCCACCATCCACGCAGCCGGACCAGAGCTGCCCAGCTTGAAGTCACCTTATCCTGGCATCTCCTGACCCCCTCTTGGCCTCCTCGATGTTTTAGTGCACAGATCAAGTTCGCATGTAGCAGGCATGATGGGTGTAACGCACATCTTGCTTCTCCCAGCTGACCCAGGATGATCCACAACCTGTCTATGCTATAAGGACAGCATCCAGGGGGCGGCCTACCCACCAGACCCGTCTCCAGAGACCCTGCTGGTGTTCTGAGCCCCTCTGTCCCCATGGCTTAGCTTTCTACTGCAGCTGACGCACAGAATCGGCACAGCTTGTTCAAGCGCAGCTTAATGCTTTTTTAACATGCCAGTCCCTGCTTCCACATGCCACGATGGAAACCCTGAGTCAGTGGATGCCACAGCCCTCAGGGCAAAGTCCTCCAAAGTGAGGTCCCTGTGAGCTTTGACCTCATTGGTGCCCCTCCTGCACTCACCCCCACACCTATCTTCTCTCCTTACCCATGGCTCCTTCTCCCTGCCGGGGACACCTTCCCCTCTGCTTTTCACCAGGCTAACTCCAGGTCAAATGTTCCCTGTCCAGAGTGGCCCCCACCCCCCATGGAGGATTGGACACCTGCCTTGGGTTGCACCTGCATGTATCATAGAGTGGCACCCACATTTATCTGTGCAAGACTTCATTCCATGTCCTTGTGCCCAAATCCTGGAGCTGCAGGTCCCAGGAGGCCAGAGCTTATCCAGCACAGCCTGACCGCTGTCCCCCACTCAGGGCTGGGACACCACGGGCCTCCCTGAATGTCTGTTGAATAACTGGATAAAGACTGGCCACTGCAGCCATCCCACTGGCCCTGTGAGTCACACAGACCCCGCCAGGCTGCATGCTGCCACATAACAACCAATGCTACTGATGGATTTGTGCAGTTGGGTAAGGGCCCTGCCAGCTCGAACTTGAGTGTCCAGTCCCCCTCCAGGCAGCTCTTGGTGACCCGTCAGCTCCACCTGGCACCCTCTGCTTCTGTGGCTTCCCTACCCAGGGGGCTCTGCCTCCTCTGACTGTGGATTCTCCTTCTGGGGCCAGCCTGTGCCCTCACCCCCTGCCTCTGGACTGTGTCCTTGCAGAGGACAAGGTACAGGGCTGCCTTCATCACGACCTCCAGGGGCTCAGATCTGCACATCTCTGCACTCCAGGTGAGGTTACACTCACAGCCCCTAGCACAAGCCTGGGCACCAGGGCAGTCCTTCTGAGGGCTCAGCATTCTATCAACTCTGAGAGTGACGATCGATCCATCAGGGTTGGACAGCAGTGGGCATGCCCTTGAATCCTCATGTAATGCCAGGTAATTACTTATTGCGCCCATTTTCCAGACAAGGAGACTGAGGCCCAGGAAGGTACTGCTATTTACTCTAGGGCTCCCAGCCAGAAGGTGGCAGGGCCCCAAGGCTGAAGCAGGCCCTCTGCCCGGATAGCTGCTTCCCCCTAACTGACCTCCCACCACTGCCTCCTGGGGGCCCTTCCTAACACCCCAGGAGATCCCCCACCTGTGGCTCTGCACTTGAAGGTCTTTGGGTCCAACTGATGGAGCTGCATGTGGGCCAAGGCTGTGGGGCCTGCGCAGGCCCCAGTGCCCACGCTGGCATTCACAGTGGGCAGCCATTGCAGCAGCCAGAGGACACGACAGTCGCACTGGAACGGGTTCCCGCGGAGGTCCCTGGGGCAAGAGGGCAGGATGCGAGGGATGAGGCCGTGTTCCTCTCCCCAAGCCCAGGACCCATGAGAAGAACACGGAACACCCATGGCGGGGCAGCCACACTCACACGAGTTGCCCTTCTACCCCCACGTGCTCCCCAAGCCCCCATGCCATCTGTGCCCTCCCCGGATTCTCACACATGAGTCAGGGTGTCCAGGCCTCGGAACAGGAACCTGGGCAGAGCTTCCAGGTGGTTATTGGCCAGGCTTCTGGGAGAAGAAGAGGAGGAGGAGCAGTCAGTAGCCAGCCGCTGGGATGCCCTGTGTCCCAGGGGACGGGCCAGGGCATGGAGTCACGCACAGGTGTGTGAGCGAGCGGAGTCCTCGGAGGGCGTTCTTAGAGATGGAGCCAATCTTGTTGTCCTCGATGAAACTGTGGAGGGAACGCAGTGTGAGGGAGGTGCCCCCAGGGGAGCCACAGGTTATGGACGATGCGGGATCCTCTCCCCCAAAAAGCTCCCACAACCCCAGGAAGGGGCCTACTTCCTACGATCCTGGTGGCTCTGGAGGCCCCAGCCAGCCTCACCATCACCACCACCATCGGTACCTACCCCTGCGTCTCCAGTGATACCCACAGCCATCACTGTCACCCATGCCTCATTTACCAGCACCAGCCCCAGCCTGGTGATCTTTGTGGATCTCGAAGTACAGAAAGGTGAGTGGCACATTGTGGTCAGTGGTCAAAGCCACTGCTTCCAGGAGCCAGACCCACCTGCCCGGTAACTGCCACTGTCTGCTATATCTTCCCCTGCCACCTTGGTCATCACCAGCAGCATGGCCACTCACTGCCATCTTCAACCCCAACAATGTCACAACCCAACCCTGCATCCACAAACACTGCTAAGCGAAGCCACCAACACAGCCTTTGTCACTAAGATCCCGAAACCTGCCACCTCATCACCAGCACTGGACTGCAGCCATAGCATCACCTCCCCATCACTAACACTCACAGTTCCACTCACAGTCAGCAATGTGGCTGCCTTGTTCCTCAACCTCCACATCAGTCACCAACCCAGATACCAGGCCAGCAGCCTGCCACAGTCACCACCAATGTCAACACTGCCAACCTTGCTGACTTTGGCCTCCCTGCCACCAATCCACAGACTTGTTGCTGTTGTAACTGCCATTATCATCAACAGTTTCCCTGAGTAGTGGTCCCAGGGTCACTGCCACTGTTCCCGTCATCACCACTGCCCCCAGCTCAAGGCCATCACCACCATGATTGCTACCCTATAGCAGCTGTGCCCCCTCGGCCCTGCCACCACCCATGTCCCAGTCATCTGTTGGTAGGCAGTATGTCCTGACTCCAGCTCCCTCACCTGTTCCCTCCCTGGGTAGGGACAGAAACAGGCTCCCAATGGGCAGGCCCTTTGTGGATCTCGAAGTGCAGATAGGTGAGTGGTACAGTGTGGTCAGTGGTCAAGGCCACTGCTCCCGGGAGCCAGACCCACCTGCTCCCGTCCCCTGGGACCCCACTCACAGATACTGCAGGTGCGACAGGCCTGCAAACGCATCATCCTCAATCACAGAGAAGGAGTTGGAGGTGAAGAGGCTGGAGAGAGTAAGAGAGGCATTTTACAGAGTGCCAACACCCCTCCCTCGGACACTGCCACCTGGACCCCACCCCTAGCCCACCTGGGGCACACGAAAGGCTGTGTGTACACACATGCATACCCTCACACATGTGTATGACCACTCCACGTGCCCATGCGTGGACACCCATGACCCATGACACTTACAGCAGGTGCAGAGATGGCACCTTCAGGAAGCTTCCGGCCTTCAGTTGGGTGAGTCCGGTCCTGACGAGTGAGCTGGGGGAATGCAGGCAGTGATGGGGTGAGGTGGAGGGGGGCAGGGGCTAGTCCCATGCTGAACCTGCCTCTGTAGTCAGGGAGACAGACTCCTGCCCCCTCCGTGCTTGGCTGTCTGTCACAGCCTAGGTCCCCGGTCCCCACGGGGCCTGGCACTCACAGGGATAGTAGTGTGGGAGGGAGGCTCCTGGGCAGCTCCGGGGAGCCCTCGCACAGCGCGCTGTCTTTGGAGCAGGAACAGCTGGGGGAACACTTGCTCTTCGGGGCTCTCCAGGCTGCCCCCTGCCCTGGTCCGTCCAGCAGCAGCAGCAGCAACAGCAGCGGGGCTGCCCCTCCCATGCCCCCTCCCCCTGCCAAAGTGCCCCCTGCCCTCTCCCACTAACTCCCCTACGCTCCGCGCCCCTGCATCCCACCTGCCCTTCCCACCCTGGCCTTGACCCTGGTCCCCGGGGCCTCCCTTCCAGCCTGCCTCCCTGCCTGCTGTTTTTCCCTCCCTCTCTGCTTGTCTCTGAGTTAGCCTGCTCCCTTCTCTCCCCCTGCCTGCCTTTGTCTCCCTGTCCTTCTCTCTGGTTCTGTCCAGTCTCCCAGTCCCCGCAGGTCCCCTGTCTGCTGGCCTCCGGGCCTCTCCCGGTTGGTAGCCTCCTCCCACGCTCCTTCTCCCTGATGATTTGGGAGAGGGACTTGCTGGGCCCCCGGGTGCTGGGTAGGAAGGAGGAGGGGGTCAGAGGCCATAGGAAGAGCTGCTATGGGGAGAGGGACTGGGTGGCCCCTGGGGAGGGGGCGGGGCCGCCCCGGGCTGGTCCTGTCCTGGCCACGCCCAGCCGGCCCCCTCCCCAGAGCCCCCAGTCAACCCATTCAGACAGTATAAGGAGGATGGCGGCAGAGTGGGGACCACACGGCTCGGCAGATGGGAGGGGGAGTGCTGCCGCTGTCGGGGTCTCTAGCGAGCCAGCCCCCTCCCCAGGCTCCTGGAGGGTGTGGTGGGCGCTGTCATGGAGGCGCAAAGGGGCCAATTGAGGCCCAGCTGCTCCCTCTGGTGGCCACACTTGGTGGAACCGTTGTCCAGCCCCAAACCCCTGACCTCCCTTGTCTCCCTACCCTGATATTAACCCCTTGTGTACCCACCCCCGTGGCGGGGCGGGAGGCCAACTTCGGGAAATAAACCCCAGGACGGCGCCACCTTGTCCAGAGATCAGAATTCAAGGGTAGGTGGGCTAACGGCTTTCATGTGGATGCAAGACCTTCAGCAATTTGGGTAGATTCTATCTAGGAAGTCAGTAAACAAACGACGCTCCCCTTCCACCCCAACACATCGCTGACCTGAAATGGTCCAAGTATTGAGTATTAGCCTGTACTGTGAGGCTGGTGGCATTACTGTCCCTACCTTACAGATGGTGAGACTGAGACCCAAGAAAGTTAAACTGTGACCTTCAGGATGCCGTTCAGCTCTAAATGGAACCACTGTCACCTGTTGCCTCTGGTCTGCAGACTGGCCCCAGCGTGGGAGGGCAGTGTGTGTGAACACAGTAGCCCATCTCCCTGCTGGTGTGCAACCTGGGGATTCACTGGAGGTCAGGGAGCTGAGAGGCCTCAGCTTTCCCATCTGTGAAACCAGAGCACTGGCGGGGGCACCCAGCTGTGGAGAGAACTCACTGTGGTGAGGAAGGCAGGCTGGGCGTGAGCTCTGCACCCCAGGAGCCTGGGATCCGAGCGAGTCCTCTGTGAGTGAGTGTGAACTTGACAGTGTCTTAGTACAGAGAAAGAGCTGTGTACTGGGGGCACAGAGGGGGCACACAGAGCCTCGCTCACTGCTAGCGTGCCCAGCCTAGCGGGCCTCTCACCCCAGATCACCACGAGAAGGAGGCCAGGGATAACAATGGGGCTGGCTCGTTGTTTTAATGACTTTCTGTGTGTCGGGCTTTGTTCACATTGTTTTACATGGTTTTTAAAAATTTTTATTCATTTTTTTAAAAAGATTTATCTATTTTTGTTGGAAAGGCAGATTTAGAGAGGAGAAACAAAGATCTCCCATTCACAAGTTCATTTGCAAAGCAGAGTGGCAAATAGAAGGGGAGAGAGAGAGAGACTGATCTTCCATCCACTGGTTTGCTCCCCAAATGGCCACAATGGCTGGAGCTGGGCCATTCCAAAGCCAGAAGCCAGGAGCTTCCTCAAGGACTCCTACATGAGTGTAGAGACCTAAGGCTTTAGGTCATCCTCTGCTGCTTTCCCAGGCAGTGAGCAGGGAGCTGGATTAGAATTGGAACAGCCAGGCCCGGCAGCGTGGCAGCCTTGGGACCCTGCCCGTGTGGGATACCCGGAAGAAGTTCCTGGATCCTGGCTTCGGATCGGCATAGCATCGGCCGTTGCACTCACTTGGGGAGTGAATCATCGGATGGAAGATCTTCCTTTCTCTCTCTCCTCCTCTCTGTATATCTGACTTTCGAATAAACAAATCTTAAGAAAAAAAAAAAAAGAGTTGGAACAGCCAAGAGGTAAGTGGGTTGCTACCACTGCTGGCAGAGACTTAGCCTATAATGCCACTGTGACAGCACCCCTCCCACTCCTCATTGAATTATTTTTTAAAGAGTTATGTGTTTATTTGCAGGGCAGTTACAAAGAAAGTAAGGGGGAGACAGAGGAGAGAGATTTTACACCTGCTTCTTGAGTGTTCAAATGGCTGCAAAAGGCCTATGGCAAACCAGGACAAAGCTGGGAACTCCACCTGGATCTCGCATAGGGGCGGCAGGTCCAAACACCTGGGCCATCTTCTGCCGCTTTCCCTGGCACATTAGCAGAGAACTTCATAGGAAACAGAGTAGATGGGATATGAACAGGTGCTCCCATGAGAAGCTAGCATTGTAGATAACTAAACCCACTGCACCACAATGCCAGACCCTCCGAACATTTGCTTAATCTTCCTCCAAGCCTCCCTCTGAATTGAATGTCATTGTTATCTCAGGAGAGGCTGAGCCAAGAGAAGGGACATCACACAGCTGGAAAGGGCTGAACCGCTGTACTCTGGGGCAAGGACGTGAGATTGGCCAAGAGCTGGGCCGGTGCCTCAGTTCTACATCAACATCAGGGTTATCATTAACCACCTGGGGTGGAGGCTCCGACACTGGACCAGGGAGCCTTTTGTGGAAATGAGTGTGAGTGTGTGTGAGAGAGTGCGAGAGAGGCCTGGGAGTGAGCGTGCCTTGGTGCTCCTGGGGTGCCCTGCAGCTTTTGGCGGCCCCGGGCTGGTGTGTTGGACATTTCTGTTCATAACCACCAGAGAACCTTGGGAAACCTGTTGTTTGCTCATCTCTGAAGTGATCATAAGGCCACGTCAAGTTCAGAGGCCTTTGAGCCAGCTGGGAGTCCCATGTTTAATCTTAGTGATTTCTCAGTTTCAGATGCAGAAAACTGAGTGGCAGGGTTACCCAAGGCTGCAGTGGCCAGCCCTGATTCCCTGGAACCCTGGCCTGCTCTGTGTTGTCCCCCAGGGGGTCACCAGGGGCGTATGTGGTTTGGGAGTGTGTGAACACTGGTGTTGACCTGTATGCGTGTGACAGAGCGACCCACCATGCACCTGCCTGCCCCCAGCTGGGGGAGAGGTCAGCTTGGTGTGGCAATGCCCTTGACGGTGTCCACCTGTGTGTCAAGGAGGTGTGCACAGAGATTCCTTGGCCTTTGCTTCTCGGGGTGTGGGGGTGTAGGCATACTGGCCGTGTGGCTATGCCTTTAAGCTTCTCGGTAAGTGTTTCTGTGTGTGTCTGCCCCTGTATGGGTGCAGATGCCCACATGTGTACTGTGGTCTGTTGTTAGTGTGTGTACTCCCAGGGCCCCTCACAGGCAGCAGCAAACAACACATAACAAGGTGCCCTGTCTCCTCAAAAACAGCCCTACCGTGATGTCCAGGGTTCCACTGGGGAGCCCTGGGGTTGGGGTCAGGAGTCAGGGATCCTAGCACTTGCTGACCCATGTTCCTGCCTGGCCCTAGTCCCAGGAAGCAGAAAAACACTCCTTTCCACCCGAGTTCAGCAGCTTGTATGTGTGCCTATGTGGCCATGTGTGCGGCCCACGTGCGCCACCCAGGGTTCCCCAGCCACGTCTGCAGTGGTGCTTCTGAGCTGAGAGAGTTAACCTAGCAGGACAGGGCGGTCTGGGCTGGGGGCCGCCCCCTGGCCCCCCTCCAGCCTGGGCTCCAGTTACAGCTGCTGGTTGGGGAGGGCCAGGCTGGGGTGGGGCCTGTGGGGAGGGGAGCCTGCCTGTGGGGGCAGTGCATCCAGCCAGCACTGGGCCAGGGGGTCCAAAGTGCTTGGGGGGCCCCAGGGCACAGCGGCACAGTTTGGGGGGCCTCTCTCACTCTCTCTCGGCGGCGGGGGACAGCTTGACTGGGGTGAGCAAGCCCGCCCCTCCCCTGTAGGCCTCATCCCGTGCTGGGGCCAGGCTGCCTATTTTGGGAGCAGGAGTGGCCAGCCAGTGGCTTCTCAGGCAGGCCTGCCCTGGGAGGGAGCCGGGAGCATGGTGGTGGTGGTGAGGACACCGGGGGGTCCCTGCAGGGCTGGGAGTGTGGGGACGGGCTCTCCTGTCTCTGGCTGGTTGTGGGGTCAGGGGTGTCCATGGATGGCTTGGCTTGTTCTGGGTGTTTGAGGACACCCGGAAGAGGGGTTATTGAGCACGCTGCACGCCTCCACCTAGTAGCATAGAGAAGGGTGTTGTTTGCACCAGCTTCCAGTCCCACGCATGCGTGTGTGTGTGTGTACACGTGTGTACCCTGGCTCTGGACATCAACCCCTCCCTCCCTCTCTCTCTCTCCAGTCCCTCTAGCCTGGGCCTTCTGTTACTGTCCCATTAGAAAGATGTCACCAGGAGGTGGGTGGGGTGGGAGATGGGGCCTTCACGCACTGCTTTCCGGGAAGGAGAAGGGTGGCCTTTCCTCCCCGGGGGTGGCCCGGTGGCGAGGTGGCAGCTTGTTGTGCCTGACCCCCGAGTGGGAGCAGCCCAGCTGTTGCCATGGCGCCTGTGTGTGGTGAATTCCTCCAGCATGAAGTGGGAGATATTTATACCCAGGGTCAGGCACAGAACGGGCAGGAGAGTGGGGACTCCGGGGGACTTACGAGGCAGGTGCGACCTGGGCGTGCCCCCCAGGGCACACCCAGGGTTGAGGGGAGGCACCTAGGGCCTGCTGTGGGGAGGGGGAGGCTCATGGGGGACCCTCCCTCCCCACAGTGGGTGGGATCTTTCTTGCTGTATGCCCCCTACATGGCTGGCTGGCCCCTGCGAAGCAAGGGCTGCCCTTGTTTCTCGGGCAACCAGGCTGGGTGACTTTGTATTAAGTCCCTGGACTGTCTCAAGCTTAACCCCTTGGGTCCAGGCCCCAGTGACTGGGGGAGGTGGCCGAGAACACACACGGCCTGACCATAGCGTCCCCACAGGACATGGCGTCTCTTGGGCCTGCCTGGGTTCTCTGTGTGGGTCTCCTCGCCATGGCCAGAGCAGGTGAGTCCTGGGAGGCTTCTCAGAGCCCCCCGCAGCTCCCCTTTGCCCCCCCAGCAGGGATAGGAGAAATGCTATGAGAACCTGATTGGAGACCCCCAACCTGGAGTTGAGGCATCAGCTGGGGTACCAGGGTGTTGAGGCCCCCACAAGGAGCAGAGTCACAGGCTGCCATGGTCAGACAAAGGGGTGGGGTGGAATGGAGGCCTGGTGCTGTCATGAGGCAGGGTGGGTGCTGGGACCGGCAGGGGGCACGGGGCGGAGGGGGTGGGAGGAGCCCCTGGGTGGCCATCTGACATGCACCCTGCCTGGTCTCTCTTTCTGCAGAAGCGTCACAGGAACACGACCCGTTCACTTATGGTGAGGGGTGTGCTGGGGAGGAATGGGATGCCCTGTGGGTCCACATGGCCCTCCCTGTGCCCAGGTCATCCTCCCTGTGCCCTCTCAGGGTTACAGGGCTCGCCCTCTGCCTCCTGTGCTTTCTCCTGTCCTCTCCTGGACACCCCACTTCTCCCAGACCTCACCTCTCCCGTGTGCGGTACTCCCTCAGCAACCTTCCTCCTGCTCTGTACCCACATCCTTCCTCTTCATCCTCACCACCTCCCAGCCCTCACCTCCTTCCCATTCCATCCTCACCTCCTTCCTACCCCTCACCTCCTCCCAGTTCCTCACTTCCCACCTCTCATCTCCTCCCAGCTCCTCTCAACTCCCCCTCACCTCCACCCTGCCCCTCACCTTCTCCCTGTCGCCCACAGACTACCAGTCTCTGCGGATCGGAGGCCTCATTATCGCAGGGATTCTCTTCATCTTGGGCATCCTCATTATCCTGAGTAAGAGCCTGCGCCCCCTTCTTGATCGGACCCTGCCCTCTCGGTCCTGCTCGTGCCCCGCCCCGCCGCCCTGGCCCCGCCCCCAGCCCCGCCCACGCCCCAACCCAGCCTGTGCCCCAGCTAGCTCCACCCCTTGCTCACCAGCGCTCATTCCAGCGTCGCCCCGCCCCTATCCCCGCCCCTTCCCCACCCCGACCTGGATCCCAGCCCACGTCGCCCCGCCCCCGGTTCAGACCCCTGTCTGGATCCAAGCCCCGCCCCGCCCCCGGCGCCCAGCCTAGGCCCCGCCCCCTCATTGAATCCCAGCTCCGCCCTTCCCCACCTCGGCCCGGTTCCGGCGTCGTCCCGCCCCCACCTCAGCTCTGGCCCCGCCCTTCGGCCCCCCCAAGCCTGGACCCCAGTCTCGCCCCTCCCTTCCCCATTTCGCCCCACCCCTCCCTGGATCTCAGCCCCGCCCCTGCCTGGATCCAAGCCCCGCCCCCGCGCAGTTCGCCCCGCCCCTTCCCCATCCTGACCTGGATCCCACCCCCTGGATCGCCCCACCCCCGGCTCCGCCCCTCCCTTTCTGGATTCAAGCCCCGCCCCTGCCCACTTCGCCCCGCCCCCAGCTCCACCCCTTCTCCGCCCCGCCCCATTCCAGCGTCGTCCCGCCCTTCGGCTCTGGCCCCGCCTTTCGTTCCCCAGCCCGCCCCTGCCCACTTCGCCCCGCCCCAGCCCCGCCCTCAGCCCAGTCCCGGCTGGTGCCGCGTGGACCAAGGCGGGGGCGAGCGGGAGCTGCCCCTGGGGGTGCCCGCATATTATGGGGACCCTCCCTCAGCCTGTGTTTCTCCCCACCCCTACAGGCAAGAAGTGCCGGTGCAAGTTCAACCAGCAGCAGAGGTAAGAGGCCTTTGCAGAGCGGCGCTATTGCCTGCCAGTCGGCGGCCTGCCGCCCTCAGCCAGCAGGCATGAAGAAGCGCCCACTGTGTACCCAGCTCCCTCCCACCCTGCCCACCGGAGCCGCCCGCGCGGGACCGAGGCGCTCTGCCTCAGCCTTAGAGAAAGCATCCCAAGCCCAGGCCGGCGGGGACACATTGTCGGGGGTCTCCTCCTGGGGTGCACCACGCACCCCCAAGGTGATGGCTGGAAACTGAGGCATGGAGAGGTAGCCGCCCCCTGACCCAGATCGCCTCGGAGCAGGCGGTGGGCACGCTGGGTTTCCCACCCAGGCCGAGTTGTGGCAGTTCGCCCGGGACTCAGGACCAGCCTGCTTCCTTGCACTCCCCGACCTGCCCCCTTCACCTGTTCCTGAGGGCTCCTGGTGGCCGGTGGGCCCGCAGCCTGCTCCTCGCCCTCTCTAGGCCTCGGGACCCCGGGCCCCTTAGGGGTGGGGGAGCTTCCGAGCTCCCTTTGCACCCCCCAAATCCCTCTGCCTCTCCCTTCCCAGAACTGGGGAGCCCGATGAAGAGGAGGGAACTTTCCGCAGCTCCATTCGCCGTGAGTTGGGGAGACCGCCCGCCCGTGTGGAAGGGTCAGGGCTGGACGAGGTGGGGCTTGACCTGAAGCTGGGCGGCGGGGACGCCCCTCCTGACGCTACAACTCTGTGTTTTGCCTCCTCAGGTCTGTCCACTCGCAGGCGGTAGAGACACCTGGCGCCGTGGACCTCAGCCAGGTCCTGCAGCCCTGACCCGCTGGGGGAGGGGCGCAATGCGGGACTGGGGCGGGCGGCGAGGGGCAGGTTTGGAAGGGGTCCCTTTGCGCCTCTCACCCTCTCCACCCCCACAGGATTCCCCTGGAATCTGACGCTTTCCATCCGTCACCTGTGCCCACCGCCACCTCCACGGCCCCCTCCCCAGCCCTGCCCACCCCCCAACCCCCTCCACTCCCGGTACCGCCCAGACTGGCAATAAAACGTGCTTCTCTCTCTGCCGCTCTCCAAGCGCTTTGTTGATCTGTCCCTCTGAGCGAGCAGCTTTGGGCACCCCCACCCTGGGGAAGGGGCGGGGACGGCGGCAGTGGGCGGGAGCGGGGGCGGGGGTGATCCGGCCGGGGGCGGGTTCCCCGGGCCCCCATTGGCTACAGGCGCCCCCCCAACACCAGGGCTCCCCGCACCCCACCCCACCCCCGTCTGCCCCCATCAGTCTGTCCTGCTTCCAGCTGCTGCGGCCGCGCCGTCGCCGCCTCAGCATCCAGCAGAGCCCTGCTCCAGCCCAGCATGGCAACCCCGACTCAGACCCCCACCAACGGTGAGCGACACCCGGAGAAGGGGGCGCCAGGGGGAGGGGAAATCTGGGCATTGAAATCTTGGAAGAACAAGGGTGTAGGGAGGCTCTTGACATGGAAAAGGAGGGGAGTGGGGAGCCGATGTGTGCCCCTTCCCTGAGCGGAGACTCCCCCCTGTAGCTCACGCCTTGACATCCCTTCACCCCCTCCCTGTACCTTTGGGGGCTTCCTGGGCATCCCCTCCTGACCGGTGGAGCCATCCCGGTGTGGGACCCATGGTTGGAGAGTGACAGTCCCAGGAGAAAGGATGCTCGGACAGGTTGCTGTGGCAACCGGGTGGCTGGTCCAGTGCCCGTGGCAGCAGAGGGAAGAAATGGGTGGGTGAGTCTACGGCCCTTGGAGGCTCCTGGGGTGGGCAGGGAGTAGGGGTCCGCATCTTCTCTTTCCGGCACTGCTGGCTCCTATGTTGGGTGTTTCCTGAAACCTCCAACAGACAGGTGCACAGGGAAAAGGGAGAGCTGGAGTGCTCACATGAGAGACCAGACCTGGAAAAGAGAGAAACTCAATAAGATAGAGACCTGGGAAGAGATAGATCAGATACCGACGGGCATTCAGAGAGGGCGAGGGTGAGAGGATAGCAGAGACAGGGAGACACCCGACAGAGGGGCTGTGACAACCACGGAGCGGCTAGTGTGGAGGAAGACAGAGGGAGGATGGGAGCGAGGGGGGAGGGCAGGTGGGGTGGGGCCCAGGCACTGCAGTGACATCCCTTGTGGGGGGAGTGGGCTGCAGGGACCCTTCTCCCAGGCTCCGCACAAGCTGCTGATGGTTGGTCCCAGGGGTGCACCTGCCTACGCACAGAGCTGGCCCTCCTGGCCCCACCCAGCCGCACAGGAACAGGCGTTTCACATCCCCATTAACCCAGTTATGCACCCACTTAAACAGCCTTGCACCCCCAGGGACCCCTAGCAGCCCCCCTTAGCTGAGCCTTCGCCCTGCAGCATGCTGCTGGTGGGGGGAGGGAGGAGGGAGGGAAACCAGAGTGTCTGGCACCCGAGGGCAGGAGCAGGGGTTAATGCCAGGGAGCCCCTGGCAGTGAAGGGAACCCCAATTCCACTGGCATCTGCCTCCTCCCTTCCTCCTTTTCCCAACAGGCAGGGGCTTGCTGCACTCAGCCGTATCTGCAGAATCCGAAGCAGGGCGGGGGAGGGGGGCTGCAGAGGCTGGAAGCCACCCTAGGGAAGAGGGGGCAGGGCTGAGGCAGCAGGTCTGGCGGGAGCCCAGGGCTTCTTTTCGCAGAGGTGGTGGTTAGCAGGATCGATGGCAGCAGATGGACAGGGGTGGGAGGACAGATGCTGCGGCGTCCTGCCTCCCCAGTGACAGCACGAGAGGGGACCACAGGTCTTGGGAAATCCCAGGGACGGAAAAGCCTGTTGTAAGTCACGAGCCACTTAAGGACACTAATTAATGAATTGCTGGGGGGAAGGAGCTGAAACTCTCTCTCTCTGCCCTGCTAGAGGATGGGGCAGGGCGGAATGCAGGGCAAGTAGATGGGGGGTTGCTTGAGCACTTCTGGACCAGGGTCCCTGTCCCTGAGATAAGACCCTCAGCTTGGCCGCAAGCCAACCCTGCAGGGACAATCGCGGCAGGTGCCGGAAAAAAAAAAGGGGGAATCAAAATTGAACCTGGAGTTAGAAAGCATCCCCTTCCTCCCCCTCCATGACACACAAGCCTCACACAGGACCCCCACCCAGCCCAGGGTGTCCAGGCCCATCACCTCTCAAGATGCTCTAGTCGCCATAGAAACCACCTCCTTCCCCATCTCTCCTTGGCAACTGGCCAGGAGTAGTGCACATTCTACCCAGAGCTGAGCCACGCCCTGAAGACCCAGATTGGGAAGAGGATTTTCTTCTGCATGGAGGACCCAGCACCCAGCACCCAGGGAGGAAGCCAAGAGGATTCTGGAAGAGGCAGTGCATTTCTGAGAACTTCGAAGGAAGGAAACAGGGGTGGCAAGCCAGGAGACCCAAAGCAAGACAATGTACCTCTGATGGAGAATCCACCTCCCACAGCCAGGGAGGGCCTCGTTTTCATTCACTCACTCACTCATTCCTAAATGTCAGGATTCACCGCAGAGCTGAATCAAGCAACTGTTTCTAGGCAGAGAGCTGAGACTGAGCAGGGCTGACCCCAAAGCTTCCCCAAGCCCCCAAGGACACACTCTAACAGCATATTTAGCCTGACTTTATATCATCACCACCACAAACAGAACATTCAGGTTGATCTTTAAGTTGAGACTAAGAATAAAAACACACTGAAATAGGAGCCTATCTTTTTCCTCCTCTGTCTCAATGTCCCCCTCCTGTGAAATAAAGATGAAGATAGCACCCACATCAGAGTCGCTGCGAAGATCCAGTGTGTCAGATCTGTCAAGTGCTCAGAGGCAAGCAGGGCTGGCTGGCTGGATCTGTAAGGAAGGAGAAAAGCAAATGATGTCACCACATTCTATTTAGATGTCCTGGCTGGCTGAGGGCTGTGAGCCCAAGGCTCGGTTTTTCTCTCTGGTAAAGGAAATTCACAAGGGCTGGAAGGTGTCGAAGACCACTTGGCAGCAGCCTAGCACTTCCTGTTTGGGGACTAGACACCTGGGAAGGGCTGACATCCCCCTGGTGTGAATCACCTGTACGGGCCAGGTAGGCTGCAGCACACAGGGGGCCAGGGCAAGCAGGAAGCATCCCCTCTCTTAGGCTCGTGTCCATCACAGGGTGACTCCACTTCCCTCTGGAATATTCAGGTCACCAGGCCAGAGGCAAAGGAAAGCCCTTGCCAGGAGCACTCAAATGCTCTAGCCTGGAAGTGACACTTCCGTTCATGGTGCTTTGGCTAGAGTTAGTCACACAGCCCCCAGTGAACCCCAGGGGAGCTGTCCTTCTTCAAGCCTGCAAGGTGGGGGTAAGTCTCACAGAGACCACCTGCAGGGGTACGGTTTTGTGTGATGGAACTGCACACACACTCACACAGCGCATGCTATTACAGGATCGAGACCCAAGCTTAAAATCGCTGGTGTCTTAGAAGTCAGTAATAGAGGACATGAATCTGCCCAACTCCCGTGTTTGGTGGTGGGAGTGAGTGGCCCAGAACAACAGTGGTGTATGTCTTGCCTCTGGGATTTTTAGGATGACAGAAGAGTTTTGGGGAGTGTTCAGGGCAAGGTGATATGAATCTGGGGTCTGACCTCCTCCCTCTTAGCATCATATGAACACATGTGAGTGTGTAAGTCCGTAGATTAGGTCAGACTGCAGTACAGGACCAGACACACACACTTATATATGTATCTGCCCTGGTATATGCGGTATATGTGGTATATGTTGGACCGTTGCGCAGATTGTGCACTGCACAGGGAATGGTATCAACTGGTGGAGTGACTGGGGGCTACTCCTGCCATTGAAATTCTGTTGCCAGGGCCAGGGGCCTCTTTCTCGACTGCCATCATCTTCGGAAATGGGAAGAAACCCCACATTGAAGTAGTTTTTCCCTCTCTTTCTTTCCATGCCTTCTTTCCCCCTCCAGTTCCCGAGGAACCTGACCCATTTTATTATGGTGAGTGGTGGATTTTGTGTTTGGGTCTCACGGGGCTTGGTAGAAGGATGGCTGTAGATGCCAATGGGTCATGCCAAAGTGGCTTCAGCTACGGCCACGGCATCTGTGTACTGCCCTGGCACAGTTCTCGTTGGCTGGGTTCATGGAGGGCAGGCAGAACCAGGCTAGGGGTAGGGTGAAGAGGAGGCCTCATACTCTCCTGAGCTCCATATGGGACTCTGGGCTGGTGTGCCAAGAGTGCCGAATGTCAGTTTGGCTTTTCTGCATTCCCTAGCCATTGATTTCACCTGTCTGGGTCCTTTTGCAAATAAGGCAATCGGAGTTTCCATTTCGGAGGATCGTGGGAAAGATTTCCTTGGATGGTGCCATTACATCATTGTCATGGCACTGACGCTCGGGGTCTGCAAAGCTGCCCCCTCCTCTTTGAGCATCCTCCTGCCTCACTTCCACCTCCAATGCTCCCACACACCAGCTTCTTTCTCACCTCTGGGGCTTCGCACCTGCTGTCACCACTTGCAGAAATATTCTGGCCCTCTGTCTAGCTGATGCAGGCTTCTGCCTTCTCTTCTGCTGGCCTCAGATCAAATATTGACCGCCCTACAGAGGAAAAGGCCTTCCCTGGCTCTGGCTAAAGAAGCCACACCACAGCCAGCCTTGATTTGAGTTGTTGGCTTTCTGGTGGATGCTTTAGCACACAGATCAACTCCTTGATGGGGAGAAGCCCAGAGCATGGCTGGGACAGAATGAGAGCTCCCAAAATTCCTACTTTAGGAAACATTTTACTGTGCACATGTGTCCTGTGCCAGGCTGTGATCCAGGCACTGCAAGAGAAAAGCACTCAAGGTTTCCAGCCCTCCATTGCCTCACACTCAACAGGACAGACAGCTGTTCGAGGAAACAACCACGGGAGATTACTCACTAGGTGAAAACAATGAAGAAGGGACTGCAGGGACAGAACAGGATAGAACCTTTCTAAATAAGATAGCCAAGACAGGTGTTGCTGACTCTGGATGCAGCCCAGAAGGTAGTGAACGAGTGAGCCATGGGCATGCTGGGGGGGAAGAGCATTCCAGCAGAGGGAACAGCAAGTGCAAAGGCTTGTGGCAGCGCCATACTCAATGTTGTCTGTTCCTGGACAGCAGCAGCTGGGGCACTATGGGGAGACTGGGATGGGGTGGGGTCTGAGAACTGGGCACTACCAGGTTTCCCAGGGAATTGTGGGTCATGGCGAGGACTTTGGGGACCAGGAAGGAGGTGGTTGTGGACACTCAATGTATACACTCAATGTAGAGGGCCAGAGGGAGAGGGTTTGGAGAAATCAGGAGGCCCGGAAGAGCCAGTGCTGCCCATACCCATGCCCTTGACCATCATAGTAACTCCTGGAGGGTGGCCAACTTGTTGGAGTTCCCATCTAGGGAACTCCAAAAATCTTACAGGGTTCTCATCCACTGGAGGTGGGGGATGGGGGGTCCCCAAGAAGCCACTGTTTCCAAAGGTTCCCAGCATGGACAGCGGTCCTTGGATTCTGGCCCTCGGGCTGGGCAGCCTGGAGCCCAGGCTGAAACCCTGGTAGTGCGGGAGTGGTACCCTGCTTCAACATTCTTCCTTCTCTTCCCCAGATTATGCCACGGTGCAGACAGTGGGCATGACCCTGGCCACCATCATGTTCCTGGTGGGCATCATCATCATCCTCAGTGAGTCTGAGCTCCTCCTGGGTACCTGTACTCTGCTTGGCTCCCACGTGTGGCTTCCGTGCACAGCCTCATGTCCTGGGTCCCTACCTGTCCATTTTCTCTCCTAACAGGCAAGAAGGTGAAGTGCAGGAAGGCAGATTCCAGGTCTGAGAGGTATGGCAGCTGCAGAGAGTGTGGGAGTGAGGAGCGGGAGTAGCCTGGGGCTCGGGGGTGGGGATGGGGGACGCATCTCTGGAGCCTGCAGCTGCTGAGCCTCATCACACTTTTGCTCTTTGCCCCCTGCCCTTCACAGCCCAACCTGCAAATCTTGTAAGTCGGAGCTGCCCTCTTCAGGTGAGGGGGAGAAAGCCTGCGGATCTGTCGGAGGAAGCACTGAGGGGACCCTCAGAAGGGGGTTGCATGGGCCTGCTGCCTGGTGGATGGGGGCCGTGGGAGGGGGAAGAGTCCCACAGGAGGCCCAGTACTGGCACATGGGAGCCACTACCGGAAGGGGAGGCAGTGGGGATGGCCACGTCCGCATGGATCCGCAAGACAGCCTGCCTTCCCAGATAAGAGCGGTTTCTGCCCCGTAGGTGGGGGTGGTGGGGTGGGGAGGGAAGAGTTCTGAGAGGTACCACTCAGATAGATCCAGGCTAGCCGAGGGTCAAAAGTGGAGAGGGAACGAGGGAGCTTAGAGCTGGATTGCAGCAGAGCCCAAGCTGGGAGCTCCCAATGGAGAAGATAGCACACAGGGACGCAGGGCTGAGCGGGGAGACTGGAAGGTGGAGGAGGGAAAGGGTGAGAAGCACGGATGTTTGGGAGGCTGTGGTGTGGAAAGGATGGGGGTGCTGGGGATGGGTGGAGGAGGATGGAGGAGGGAGTGGGGTGGAGTGGGGGATGGGTGGGGGAGGATGGAGATGGGGGTGTGGGAGGGGTGTGTGCTGGAGGATGGAGGCTGTGATGGGAGGAGAGCCAGGAGGGGGAGCCTAAGGAAAGCCTGGGGCTCCTCCTTGGGGTACTCTTGTGGGCCAGCGCATCTTGCCCTGTTTTGGTGGGACCCCACCCTTTCAGGGAGATGCGTGACAGCCCTGACAGCTTGAATTGGAGGGGCTTGGGGGGACTCAACATGCTGGATGTGGGAATTTTGCGTGTAATTTCATTCGCTTGGCTTGGTTTCTCGGTTCAAGCAGGTCCTCTGTGACTGGGGCCGGGTGTGGAATTTTACAGGGGTCTGATCTGCTCAAGGGGAATGGTGGTCCCTGGGGGTTGCTGTTTCCCATGGTTCAGGAAACAGAGGAGACCGGGGGAGGGACTCCTTTCTGGTAGGTGTGTTCTCCTCCAGGACAGCACTGCGGACAGTGTTCCCACAGGCGCCAGGTCTTAAGGTGATAGGGGAAGCAACCGGATTTTCGGCGTGCGCGGGGCTACAGGGCCCCCTGGCTGTGGCGAGGAGACTGCGCCCAGGCAGCCGACTGACGCCCGTCCCTCTCTTCGCAGCCCCTGGCGGCGGCGGCGTTTAAGACCAGCCCTGGGCTCTCACTGCTGCCCCAGCCAGAGCGCGCAGCCAGAGGACCACCAGGTGAAGGCCGTGCGGACCCCGGCCTTGCGCCGGGAAGCGCTCCCCTACGAGCCGCCCCGCCCTCCCCGAGGCTGGAGCCGTTGCACCTCCACTGTCCCTCCCCAGACCTCGGCAGTGATGACTTCCCAAAAGAGCCCGCGTGCACCCCAGACCCCGGGACTCAAGCCTCCACCCTGCATCCCGGTGCGGCCCCCCGCTTCCCAGTGCCCGAGCACCGCTCCCCTGCAGTTCCCTGCCCGTCCCTCAAGGTCCCGTCCCTTGGCCCACCTCGGTGTCCACGTCTTGAGCTAAATAAATGTGCATTTGGTTTTTTTCCCCTGTTCTGTCTGAGTGTTCTCATCTGTGGGACACAGTTGGGAGGGGGCTGCCGAGGGGAAGCCGGGGAAACGCTCCCCGCCCCGCCCCCACAGCGCCCAGCGCTCTTCCCCACCCACTTTCCCTTCCCTTCCCGCCCCCCTCCGGAGGGGGCCCCCTCTTCTATTCCCCCTAGCACCCCAGAGCTAGCCCTCCCCTCTCCACCCCACTCCCTCACTTTCACTCCCCAGACCTGCCCGGCGTGGACCCCCAGGTCCCCCGTGGCGGGGGGCGCCGAGATCACAGCCCTACCCCGGCCCCCACCCATCGGCCTCGGCGTCTCCCCCTCCTGCTCCCACCCCGACTCTGAAGCCAGGAAACCCAAGAGGAAATGACTGCGCCCGTCTAGCTCCCCGCCCGCCCGCGCGCCCCTGGCCACACCCTCCGCCTGGTCGCCTCCAGCTCGGCCGTCTGTCCACGAGGCTGCTGCTCGCTCCGGCCCCCGGCCCCGACGTAAGTGTTTCCCGCCTCTCCTGCCTCCCCTCGGCTGGGCCGCGCGCGCAGGTGGGCACAAAGCGGGTCCCTCTGCGCGCTTGCTGCTGTCACCACCTGGCAGATCCCAGACCCTGAACCTCGGCGGGACCACCCTGCCTGCCTCGGTGTCCCCAGCTGCTTTCCATCCTCCCGGACACCGGCACCCTCCATCCTCCCAGGCAGTGCTGAAACCTCAGCCCCTGTTTACTTTTTCCTTGGCGACCACGAGCTCATTACTCATTCTTCCTCTTCTCCCCTGGCGAGGGCAAGAGGCACTAGGTCTTCTCCTAGAGCCTGGAGCGCTGCCGCTGGGGGGAGGGGGGGCGTCGCTGCTAGGCAGGGTGCGTGCCTGGAAGGGTCCTGCAGGGTGTGCACTTGGGTCCCAGGGCCCCTGGCTGCTGCAGTGAGGGCCTTCAGGCTGATCCTTGTAGTTCCGCTGGAGAATCCGCGGGGAGCAGGAGATGGTACTTTGGGACCCTGCCCTTGTCCCCAAAGTCAGCTGCCAGTTGCCAGGCGTGACCAGAGGTGCCTGCTCAGGGTGGGGGTACCAGAGGCTGGCCTCACTGACCCCAGCTCTTGCTCCTGGCCAGATGTTGTCCCTGGGCCGCCTGTGTCTCCTCACCGTCCTTGGCCTAATTCTCCCCACCAGAGGTAAGAGCCTACAGCCACCCTACTCCCAAAGCAGGGTTCTGCACAACCGGGAGGCGCCTGTTTGTCTGCTCACCCTGCTGCAGAACTGGCCCTGGGAACTTGGGGATCCCTGGGTGGGGGCCGGGCTACACCTGCCTTAGGCGTCTCCTAACAGGAGGAGCTGCTTCCACTAAGTCTGGCCAGAGCCTGTCCTGCTGAGCATCTGCCTTTCACCTCCAAGAAGAACTCGCTGAGTTTGATTTGGCTGCGAGGCCGGTGTCAGCTTTCTCCTTAGCAGCCAAGAAACCTGGGGTCTCCACCAAGAAGAACCTTGAGCCCTGAAACTCTGGCCAGCCCAAATCACTGGAGACCTCACAACCTTGCCTGGGACTGGGATAGGGTGGGGAGTGAACTGATTCCAGGGCAGCAACGACCCTCTGGGAATGGGGTATGCGCCTGTCTTCTCCACAGCAGGTGCCAGGCCTGCACGCCTTAACTCACATGGGCTGCAGTTCGGCTTCCCTCTGGGAACCTGCTGGTATGACCATTTCGTAGATGAGGAAACTGAAACTCAGGGGAGGAGAGAATGGGAGGAAATGAAGGGAACTGAGCCAGGGTAGCCAAGCAAGGCTTCCTGGGGCAGGAGATGTTTGGGCAAATATTTGAAGGAGACAGAGGTGTTGGGGTATGTCATAGGTTGAGTTTGGGGAGCCATGGGAAGGATGGAAAGATGATGGTGGAACAGGTAGTCTTACAAGTCCTGTGGTGGGACCTCGGCTGCTGCCTGGAGCGGGGTGCGGTCAGGGCTGGACTCCGGGCCGAGTGGACTCAGGTGTGCATAGGTGTCCTCTGATTGCAGGTGGGAAGTGGACTGTGGGGGTGGGGTCAGGGCGTGGCGCCAGGGCCATGTGCAAGGAAGGGTCAGGGAGAAGGTCCCTTCTGTACTGCGTCTCAGCTTGCCCTGTCTCCAACCCTGCGTGGTGCTGTTATCATTGCCACTTGCATCTTGCACCGTTTCCCTGGTGGACTTTGCTTGCTCCAGAAGAGAGGCTGTTGGCCCACCCGACAGAGCCTCCTACCTTAGATTGCCAGACTCAGCTGCCTCTTCTAGGCCAGAACGCGGCTGGGCAGTGAGAGGCAACCCTGGGGAAAGGTTGCTGGGCCTTGATGTTGCTTGGACACCTCCAGGTTCATGGTCTACGCAGTTGGCTGAATGGCTCCACCTACACACAGGCCTCAGACAGGGAAGCTAGGGTGGAAGCACTGGAAAGAGAGAGAAGGTGGGCTGGAGGCTCCTTCCTGAAGTCTTGCCCTTCATCCCCCAAGACAGGAGTTGGAGCCGATCACATACGTTTCCCCGGTGGAGCCACCAATAGAAAGCATGAACATGTTGACCCAGGCCTCAGTTGAGGAGGTGTGTGGCAAGCATTGCCAGTAACAGTGGCCATGCCAGCGTCAGTCTTGGAGCAAACAGGGGAGTGTATACTTTTGTGTGCAGGGATGGGCCTTCAGTTATGGCTCCATTTGGGTTCTCGAGTGATGCCATTGGGAACCACCTTTTGGTCCTGTTTTCTCTGTTGGCTTCATTCTCTGATACAATCTGCTGAGGATGACTCCTCGGTCCAAGGCAAATGGCCCAGAATAGAGTTACTGTGACTCAGAGCCTGAGCCCATCCTTGTGGCCACCAGCACAGGAACAGGGCTGTGGCCAGGCCTGGTGCCCGGGCTTGTACTCCAGGCGATCTGGGACCAGCCCTGCTGAATCAAGCAGACCGATGACTAAACAGGGGTTGGAGTGGTTCTCCCCACATGGGACACACCAGGAGCTCTTAGCTGCGCCAAGAGGGGATGGATTGTATTTAGGAAACTGAGTCCAGCTCACATCTTCAAGCCACACTTCTCTGAGTCTTAAGAAGCCTGGTGTGCAAGTACCTCCCACAGAAGGAGCTTCCATCTGGTCTGGGGTGATAGGGCATGAGGTCCTGAGGTCAGGTAGAGCCTGGGCTGCCCACGGAGCCAGTTCACAGGTACACAGCTGGATGGACGCGATTGTTCCTGCTACAGCAGAATCCAAGGACCAACAGCCCCAACAGGAGAGCAGGGCTCCAGCTCCTTGCTGATGCAAAGTCTGAGAGACGCCATGGTAGATCAAGTGGTTGGGTCCCTGCCACATAGTGGGAGAGTGGGATTGAATTCCTGGCTCTGGCATGGCTGGGCCCCCGCTCAGTCAATCCAGCTGCTGTGTTTGGGGAGTGAGCCAGCAGATTGGGGCTCTGTCCTTCTCAAATTGATAGATACATGTTCAATGGAATTGCTGTGGGATCCCTCCAATCTCTGTGGACCTCCTCCACATCCTTCTGTCTATCTCTTCCCAACACAGGCCATCCTGGGCTCCAGGCCAAGCCACAGACCTCTACTGACCCTGCTGAGTGGACCTGGGGGGGGTACCCTGGTACGCTGCCTGCCACTCTGAATCTGTTTCCCCACATCAGTCCTGCCTGCTGCAAGTTCCAACTCTCCTTCTGCACTATCACCTTGGGTGGGGCAGGGTGGCTGAAACTGAAAGCCCCTTAACATCAAGAAGCTCAAGGTGCTTACAGGAAAAACTCAAATGCCGTAGTGGTGTAGCTTACACGGCTCCCCCTAGGTTAAATCCTGGGGTGAGCACCACCCAGTTTATAGCACAATTTCGCCAGGTCCATCCATCTCTTCCTTTAATCTCTTGATCTCTTTCCTCTTTTGAACTTCCAAACAATTGTGAACCTTTCTCTTTAGGTTTAATGTGGCTCGAAAAGTGTTCCCTAAGGGATGCTTAATGGCGCCACGGTAGCCAAACAATCCTCAAGGAGCATCTACCTGCCCTGCCCTGCTCTTCCTGCCTCTGGCTCTGTGCCCTCCTCACTGTTGGCTGCGGGCCATTCCCTGGGAAGCTGTGTCACCTGTGTGTTGGCCTGGACACTGTGCCCTGTATGCCGTGCTGTGTGAGCTGCAGGGACCCATGTGACTGTTGTGCAGCTTGCTTTGCTCACACGATGGTGTGTCACGTAAGATGCTGCTGTTGTCTCCTGCTGCTATTGGCTGTCTCATAGGGCCCTGAGCAGCGGGTCCCAGAGTCACTCCCCTCTTGCTGGCCAAATGCATTGTTTCTAGTTTTTCCTGCTACACACAGTGCCACTCTGGTAGCCGATGTGTGTTCCTTTCTCATCAAACACTCGAAGCACTGATGATGGCCACAAATGTAAATCTTTTCATTTGCATTGCTTCATTCCATCCTTGTGCCTAGGAGACAGACACAGCAACCCTGGGGATATGATTTGTGATTTGAAGCAAGTGATGGGGTGACGGCCCCCGCCATGCCATGGGTTGTCCATCCTTGATTTATGTGTGTCTTCTCCCCTCCCCACTCTTCTTATCTGAACTGAATAGGTGAGACACAAAGCCACCCAGAGAGCCACTCTCCGCATACGACCACAAGGGAGGAGCTGCTGACGGATCCAGGGGTACCTGTGCACCATGAGGAAGGTAGAGCTGGAGCTGAGCCCAGCAGCCCCTTTTTTGCTTCCTTCCCTGGCCAGCTCGGCATTTCCTCAAGTACACGTCCCAGAGCGCCCACTAGGAGACTTGTTCCTGCATTTATATATTTATATATATATATTCTCTATGGGTTTGTGGTCAGGAACCTCCGGGGGAGCCACATTTCCTCCTGGTGGGCCTTCACAGAGCCTTGGACAAAGCTGCTTTGCAGGAACTTCTCCAAGAGGGGGCATCCAGGACGCATCATTTCCCAGTCCTGCAAGCTGATCAGGGTTCCCTTCCGGAGGCCGCTGGTGCTGGGAAAGGAGTCTGTAGATGTTTCACGTGGGTTATAACAGGGGCTTTACACTTGCAAAATGCACAAAGTCCCACTCCAAGAAACGTTGGTTCTAGGGGGGTCTGTAACATCTGGAGGCTGTCGACTTCAGGCACAGCTGCAGTGAGGAGCTAAAGCCCCGTCATCATTGCTAAAGGCGGTATCGCAGCAGACGGTCCGGAAGTTTTAAATATAAGCCACAAGCTCAGCATTCCCATTCATTGCAGCCCAAGAGCGAGAAGGGGTTCTCAATGGCCCATCACAGCAGAAAGAGCGTGGGGTCACATGTCTGTATCTGAGCTCTGATTGGTCAGGCATAGGTCTTACACTCCACCCTGGGGCTGGAGGAGCCGCTCAGCCTGATCTGAACTGTGTACCGAGGGTTCAGGAGTTTGGTGATGTCTGTGTGAGGGGCGACTTGCACGGGAGGATAGCAAAGTATAGTCCACTCCCAGGTAGAGCAGCCCAGCCAGTTGTGCACAAGAGCACCAATTCCAGGTCACACCAATTTACCCGTGGTTATCAACTTCCCAGTTTTTCCTCTTCCTCTTCTTCCTCCTCCTCCTCTTCTTCTTCTTTTTCCCCTCCTCCTCCTTCTCCTCCTCTTTTTTCTTCTATTATTTTTTCACAGCACCCGGAGCATGAACTTACCTCCTATGTTTTTTTTTCCTTTTTGAGATCTATTTATTTTTTTAATTGGAAAGGGAGATACAGAGAGAGGAAAGACAGAATGATCTTCCATCCCTTATTTACTCCCCAAATGACTGAAACACCTGGAGCTGAGTCAATCCAAACCAGGAACCAGGAGCTTCTTCCAGGTCTCGCAAGTGGGTACAGGGTCCCAAAGCTTTCATGTTATTGAAAATGCAGATCAGATTTATGGAGAGAAGGAGAAAAAGATAGAAAGATCTTCCATCCACTTGGTTTATTCCTCAAATGGCCACAAAGCTGAGCTCAGAGGTAGAGGATTAGCCAGTTGAACTATTGTACAGGCCCTTATTTATTCAAGAGAGGAACTCCCAGATTCCCTGCACTCGGCGATTTTGTTTCCAGGGGTAGTGTGGTGATCAGAAGGTTTTTGCACATGGTGACTACAGGCAGTGCAGATGGCATAGGTGCCCAAAGTCCTCCTGCCTACATTGGCCTGGTCTTAGCCTTTTTTTTTTAAGATTTATTTTTTTATTGGAAAGTCAGATATAGAGAAAGGAGGAGAAACAGAGAAGAAGGTATTCAGTCCGTTGATTCACACCCCAAGAGCATGGAATGGCTGAGGCTGCACCAAGCGGAAGCAGGGAGTCCGGACCACTTCTGGGTCTCTCCTATGCAGGTGCAGGGTCCCAAGGCCTTGAAACAACCTCAATTGCTTTTCCAGGTCATAAGCAAGGAGTTAGATGAGAAAGGAACTGCCAAGTTTAGAACTGGTGCCCATAAGGGATCCTGGGCGTGTGCGAGGGACAGATTGTAGGCACTAGGCTACCGCTCAAGACCTGGTATTAGCCTTTTGCTTCTGCATGCTGGGATGCTCCAGGAGGCCTAGGAGAGGGAGCAGGTGTACCTTGGGGGTCGGGGATGCTAATGTGGAGCAGGAGTTTCAGCAGGCTTTGGGGGTTCAGTACCTGCTGTTGCCTCTTATATCTGGGACTGGATAGGACTGGGAAGCTGCCCGAGCCTGCACACTGGCTGTATGGAGGTGGGCAGGGGTTCTCTCCCAGTTCCACCACTTCCAGTGATGTATTGCCCATCCCCCCACACTTATTTTGTTTTTTTGGCATCCATGGCTGACTCTAATCTCCACCATCTTCTGGCCACTCTCTCTGCTCCCCCACAGAAGGCACCACAACACACTCTGAGAAGTGGTCCCCGCAGAAGGACAGCAGGATAATGGATCCTCAGACTCCAAAGCCACCTGGTCAGTAACTCTTGCCTTTCCAGACCGGAAACAGGTTACTTCCTATTTGCTGAGTACTTCCTGCACCTGGAAGACAGCCCAGTGTGTGGAAGACTCCTCAGTAAACATGTGCTGGGTCAGTCAGTGACTTCCAGCTTGGCAGAGGGTGGGCACCCAGCAACGTCTGAGAGTAGATGCATCAATGAGTGCTGTCCATGTCCCACGTCCAAGCTCAATGGAAGCCCTCGAAGTAGCACTGGGTTCTGCAATGGGGAACTGTCAAATGGGTTTAGCTGGGTGGTTCTTATGGTGTGTAACCTGAACCTATTTATGCCTCTGTGGTCGGCTGTGTGTCCCTCCCGGTTGTCTGCTCGACTTTCTGCCCAGTTGACCTGAGAGAATGACATATTGAACAGACATTCAACAGACATGGCACTTAGGACATCCTGTGTGCCAGGCTCTGTGGTAGGTGCCCAGGCTTTGGCACCTGCCCTTGTGCAACTGACATGCTAGTTGGGGAGGGAAGAGAGACAGCAAAGACTGATGGTAATAATTAGGTAGTAGGTGTTGTATCCTGCTGTGGAGGACAGTGAGGCAGGTGCCTGGAGAGTGCTTCATGCAAAGGAGGAGAGTAGGAAAGCCACCTTGGCCATGAAGTTCAGGAGGGAGTCTTGAAGCAGGCAGTGAAGGTGCTGCTGTCACCAGGGGCAGCCATCCCCATGTTCCCTGCAGAGACACGGCTCCTGTCATCTACCTCTCCCAAAGTTTGCTTGATGCCAAAGTTTGGAATAAAGTGCCACAGTGTGGTGGCCAGAGCACTGGGAGTGTTTTTCCCCTGGTCCTGGGCAACAGGAGTCGATGTGGAGGTGCTGCCTGGGCTGGTGCCCAGAGAGGCCTCCTCCTCCTCCCTTGGGTTGCAGACACTTGCCATCTGGTTATGTCCTAGCAGGGCCTGTGCAGGGAGAGAGATGGGCAGCCAGCTCTGCAGTTGTTCCCCACAAGGCTGCTCATCCACTCCTGTCCCACCCTGCGACCTCACCCAGCTCTCACCTCTGCCCACAGGTCCAGAGGGACCAGGGCTTGGTCCAGACTGGGCAGTGCTGGGGATGTGGCCACTATGCCCCCTACCACCCAACCTTGTCAGCCTTAAGAGAGACAGAGAGAATGATCTTCTCTCTGCCTGTTCACTCCCCAAATGGTTGCAACAGCCAGAGCTTAGGCAATCTGAAGGCAGGAGCCAGGAGCTTCCTGTGGGTCTCCCATGTGGGTACAGGGTCTGACGGCTTTGGGCCATCCTCTACTGCTTGCCCTGGCTACAAGCAGGAGGCTGGATAGGAAATGGAACAGCCGGGACATGAATCACCACATGGGATGCCTATACTTGGAGGTGAAGGATTAGCTCCAGCTCTCATTTGTTCATTTCAAGAGTGGACCTCCCCCATTCCCTGCACTCGATTAATTGGTTCTAGAGTAAAGGTGATGGTCAGGTGTGGTTACACACTGTACCTGCAGGCAGTGTAGCTGGGCCAGGTGCTTGAGTTTCTGCTGTCTGACTCAAGACCTGGTATTAGCCTTTTGCTTCTGCATGCTGGGATGCTCCAGGAGGCCTAGGAGAGGGAGCAGGTGTACCTTGGGGGTCGGGGATGCTAATGTGGAGCAGGAGTTTCAGCAGGCTTTGGGGGTTCAGTACCTGCTGTGCCAGGACTGGGAAGCTGCCCGAGCCTGCACACTGGCTGTATGGAGGTGGGCAGGGGTTCTCTCCCAGTTCCACCACTTCCAGTGATGTATTGCCCATCCCCCCACACTTATTTTGTTTTTTTGGCATCCATGGCTGACTCTAATCTCCACCATCTTCTGGCCACTCTCTCTGCTCCCCCACAGAAGGCACCACAACACGCTCTGAGAAGTGGTCCCCGCAGAAGGACAGCAGGATAATGGATCCTCAGACTCCAAAGCCACCTGGTCAGTAACTCTTGCCTTTCCAGACCGGAAACAGGTTACTTTCTATTTGCTGAGTACTTCCTGCACCTGGAAGACAGCCCAGTGTGTGGAAGACTCCTCAGTAAACATGTGCTGGGTCAGTCAGTGACTTCCAGTTTGGCAGAGGGTGGGCACCCAGCAACGTCTGAGAGTAGATGCATCAATGAGTGCTGTCCATGTCCCACGTCCAAGCTCAATGGAAGCCCTCGAAGTAGCACTGGGTTCTGCAATGGGGAACTGTCAAATGGGTTTAGCTGGGTGGTTCTTATGGTGTGTAACCTGAATCTATTTGTGCCTCTGTGGTCGGCTGTGTGTCCCTCCCGGTTGTCTGCTCGACTTTCTGCCCAGTTGACCTGAGAGAATGACATATTGAACAGACATTCAACAGACATGGCACTTAGGACATCCTGTGTGCCAGGCTCTGTGGTAGGTGCCCAGGCTTTGGCACCTACCCTTGTGCAACTGACATGCTAGTTGGGGAGGGAAGAGAGACAGCAAAGACTGATGGTAATAATTAGGTAGTAGGTGTTGTATCCTGCTGTGGAGGACAGTGAGGCAGGTGCCTGGAGACTAACGTTATGCAGAGGAGTGTGGAATGCCTTCTTGGACAGGAAGTGAAGAAGGGATCTGTATGCCTAGTTATGTATTAATTGTCATGAGAACAAGCAGTGTACTGTCAGAAGCAGGGTGGTTTTTGGGCTGGGTTGGAGCAAGTGAGGAAGGGTGATAAGGTCTTGGAGTGTTTTAGGTCAGACACTTTGGGAGTCTGGATTTTGTTCCAAGGTCACCTTGGGGTGGTCCAAGTGTCTGTGCTTCTTGTTTCTGCCATTCCTTGATCCCCCCTCCCTCCCACCCACAGAACTTTCTGACCCTACCTCTCTGCTTGTCTATTCGCTGTAGGGTCCAGTGAGGATGACCCCTTCTTCTATGGTAAGTTGCTCACAGGAATGTGTGGGAGTAATTGACGGAGAAGACCCCCTGTGACTGCACTCCTCTGCCTTCTCTCTGCAGATGAGGCCACTCTCCGAAACCGGGGACTCCTGGTGGCAGCTGTGCTGTTCATCACTGGCATTGTCATCCTCACCAGTGAGAACAGGGTGTGGGCTGGGGGAGGAGGGCCCAACGGGAAGGGAGCCTGTGCCGGGAGGGGAAGTCCTGGCTTGCTTTTTTGATCGCGGGTCAGATTCTCAGAAAGGTTGATAACTTCTCCAGAAAGGTTGATAACTCTTGGCTATATATTTTTGTAGTCCATTCCTCAGTATTCTGTGGCTGTTGATCTGGGTCTCTAGTGTGCAGTTTAAAAATGTCAGCTAGACTCAGCCAGGTGGTTGTTCAGGCCACAGCAGGACCTACCTAGGCATCTGAGCTCTGTGTCAGGTCAAGGGCCCAGGAGGCAGACTCTCACTCTTCACGAGGGGATAGACCAAGTCACAGTGGAGGGATACGCAAACCTACAGGAAGAGGAGAGAAGGGAAGCTCTTTGGGCAACTTTCTGGGGTCACAGAGGCACGGTATGCAGACCTAGCTGGTGAGTAAGGTCAGCGGCAAAGAGGTGAACACGCACTCAGTTGAGCTCCCGGAGCAGCCAACTTTCAGAATTTCAGGAGCTTCACATTTCTGCGAGATCCCCTGGGGCTTAGATGGTGGCAGCTATGTGGGCTGGACTGATGGCAGGAGATAGATGGGCTCAGGAGAGGGCCCCTCACAGAGGCACAGGCAGGAACGGTACAGCATCCTAGGCCTGGCACAGCCAAGAGCTGTCGTTACTCAGCCCAAGAGGGCTCGGGAGAGTTTATAAGAAACTAGAAAGATTTATTGGTTTAAAAGTCAGAGTTACAGAGAGAGGAGAATGAAAGATATTGTCCATCTGCTGGTTCATTCCCCAAATAGCTACCATGGCTGGGACTGGGCCAGGCCAAAATCAGAAATTTCTTCTAGGTCTCTCATGTGGGTGCAGGGACCCAAGCACTTGGGCCATCCTCTGCTGTTTTCCTTTGCCACAAGCAGGGAGCGGGATGGGAAGTGGAACATCCAGGACATGAACTGATGCACATAGAGGATGCTGGCACTTGGAAATAGAGGATTAGCCTGTTGAGCCAACATATGACCCACAAAGGGGGCAGAATGCTACTACGAATGAAACAAGATTGCTATTTCACAGCAGGTCCTCACTGAATCTGGGCATCAACTGCTTTTGCCCCAGTTGTTTAACATGGTCTTGCCAGGTCCTGTTTCTCTCCTTGGTTGGGAAAATCCACACTCAGAGTTTAAAGAAGCCCACGCAGGATTAAACAGCACCCCCTGGAGGGGGTGGCTACAGCCCCATGTAAGGGTAGCGCCTAAATGAGGGCTCCGGGGTCACACATTGTGCCGTCTGTGCCTGGGGATGTCAGGGTATGGCCCTTGGAGATGAGCGCATGCATGCAGATGTGTGCCAGAGCAGACTGGATCCAGGGAAGGGTGTTTGCAAGATAAAGCAACTACAAGACTGTGGGAATGGGGAGGCGGAAGAGATGGGCACTCTAGCCAGTGAAATGGAAACTGGTTCCTGGTGATGAGAAGGGGACTTGGGAAGTGGGGGAACAGGTGAGGGAGGAGTAAGGGCACAGGCACTGGATAGGAGTTGAGCAGGTTGCAATAATGGGAGGAGGAGGAGGCCTGGGTGGCTGGGGCAGAGGGAGCCGGGGAGGTGAGAGGATGTGGGAGGCAGGGGTGCAATGAGGAGGCCAGGGCCTTGTTTTTTTTAGTTCTCTTTGGGTTCTAATTTGCCCCTTCCCTTGCTGTGGTCCAGCCTGTGGCCTCCCAACTGTCCCTTGAGTCCATCTTTGTCCTGCTACTTCTGGGCTTTGCTCTGGCTGTTCCCCCTGCCTAGAACATCCTCCCTCCAGGACGCACATGGCTCTGCTTACTTGGTGCAGGTGTTTGCTCACATGTCACTTTTTCAGTGAGCTCCACCCCCACCTCCCAGCCGAGGGGTCCCCAGGAAGATGCCCCAGCTGATCTTCTTTTCCAGCATCACACTGGCCTTACCTGCTCACCTATACTGTCCATGCAAATAGTGTCCATTCCTCTGCCATTGTTGGTCTCCCCCACAGTCAGTCTCCCAGCCCAGCTCTCGTGCCCAGGCCAGTGGGTACATGCAGTGGGTGTGCAGTGCTTACCTGTGGAATGCAGCAACAACACACACATGGTGTGAGTCCTCTGAGGGCTCCCATGTGCCAGAGTGGGGTGTTCTTGCCCGTTCTCACAGATGCTTTTCATCTACTTGCATGTGGAGTTGCCCCAGCACCCAGAGCACACACACAGCGACTCACACTGTCCCAACTCATCATGGGACTGTCTCCCTGACCCACAGGTGGCAAGTGTCGGCAGTGGTCCCGGGTATGTCGGAATAACTGCAGGTGAGTCCATCAGAATGGGGGCCGACAACCGGATGGGCACTCCGATGAGATCGAGCCTCCACAGTGTACTGCAGCCAGCTCCTCCCTCCCTGGAAGAGTCTCCTGGAGTGGTCGGTGGAAGAAGCTTATCCTGTGCCTGGGGGTGGAGTTAAGGGGCTAATGACCCTGTCCCCACCCCACTTGCTGCCCAGGGCCCCAACCGTCAATCTGTTGATTCTGTCCAGGCAAACAGTAAAGCACTGTTTCTTTTGATTCGTAATCTCTGATTGCTGTGATGGAGTGGGGTGGGGAGCTGCACTGGGCTCCTTTAGGAGCCAGGTGAGGGGCCACAGGTTTAGGGAAGGAAGTAGCTGGATGCCTTTGAGGTTGGCAGGAGGGAGGTGGGCAGGGGCTGGTGGTGGGTGACTCTGGTGCAGGAGTGAGACCATGCCGGTGGCTGGAGGTCCCTCACTAGATCCTCATTTAGGTGGTCTCCAGAGCCAGTGTACCCCAACACTGATTGGGGCTTGAGCAAGCTCAGTGGAGACCCCAGTCCATGGGGCCCCTTCTCATCAGGGTTGTGGCTCCCTGCAAGGAGCCTCCCACATCTCGATTGCAGTCACTGCCACCAGGTGACTGCTTGGCACAGGAGCCTGCCCACCAAGGAGACTATGCAAGCCCTGGAGTGGTTCTGGAGTAGTAGAGTGGCCGTTCTTTCCCAAGCCCCGTGGAGAGGGATGTGGACTCCAAGTGGGCACTTCCCCAAGGGCCTCGCGGGCAGGTTTTGATCTTATCAGGCTGATGCAGGCCTATGAGGCACAGACCCCCCAGGGCAGACACCTCCACTCGGGTTAACAGGTTGGCTATGCCAATATAAAGGGGCAAGAAGCTGGCCACATGTGGTTGCACAATGATGTTTGCCAATGGGTTTCAGCCCCTCTGAGGGTTTTGAAACCAGTTAATGGGCCTGAGCAGCAGAAAAAAAAAATTTTTTAAGTGATTAAAGAGCCTGGTGTGGTGGCCTAGTGGATAAAGTCCTTGTCTTGAATGCACTGGGATCCCATGTGGGCACCATTCTAATCCCAGCAGCCCTGCTTCCCATCCTGTTCCCTGCTTGTGGCCTAGGAAAGCAGTCGAGAATGGCCCCAAAGCTTTTGGGACCCAGCACCTGCGTGGGAGACCTGGAAGAAGCTCCTGGCTCCTGGCTTCGGATTGGCACAGCACTTATTGCTGTGGTCCCTTGGGGAGTGAATCATTGGATGGAAGATCTTCCTCTCTGTCTCTTCTCCTCTCTGTATATCTGACTTTGCAATAAAAATAAATCTTTTTTAAAAAGTGATTAAAGATGTATTTATTTACACCAGAGTTACAGAAAGAGAGGAAGAGAGAGAGAGATCTTTCATCCACTGGTTCACTCCCTAGATAGCTACAATGGCCAGGGCTCACCAGGTGAAGCTAAGAGCTTCCTCCAGGTCTGCCCTGTGGCTAGCAGGGGCGCAGGCATGGTGACCATCTTCTGCCTTCCCAGGCCAATATAAGGGAGTTGGTTCAAAAGTGGAGCGAGCAGCCCAGACTCGGACTGGCACCCACATAGGATGCAGCCTTTGTAAATTGGGCAGCTCAATCTGATATACCACAATGCTGGTACTGAATAAAAAAAAAATGATAAAGTAGGAAAGAAAAGACCAATACCTTGCAAGCAGTAGATGTAAGATCTCATATAGAGAAGCCCATGCGACTGTAAGCTCTGCTATTGGCTTGTACATATGTTACACCCACACACATACTCCATACCCCTGAGTGTCACATCTGGAGAGTCAACCAACCTCGGCTCAAAAACACTCAAAAAGGAATTCTGTCTGTACAACCTTTGTTTTCTTATATAGATTTTTTTTTGTCTTTTTGAAAATTCTCTGAATAATATGTTCTGCCGACTACTTATATTGCACTACATTATATTGGATAGCATATTGGTCCTGGCATGGTGATATGTTAAGTAAGCTGTTACTGAGACTGCGGCATTCCTTATGGATACTGGTTCAAGTCCCAGCTGCTCCACTTCTGATCCAGCTCCGTGCTAATGTACCTGGGAGAAACAGCAGAAAATGACTCAAGTGTCTGGGCCCCTGCCACCTAGTGGGAAAACTGGAAGAAGTTCTTGGATCCTGGCTTCCCTCTGGCCTCATACTGGCTATTGTAGACATCTGGGTAGTGAACTTACAGATGAAAGACCTCTGTTTCTCCCTCACTCTTTGTAATTCTTTATTATTATTGATTTTTATTGGAAAGAGAGGAGGAAAGACAGAAAAGAAGATCTTCTGTCCACTGATTCACTCCCTAAGTGGCCACAGTGAGGCCGAAGCTGAGCTGATCTGAAGCCAGGAACCCAGAGCTGCTTCTGGATCTCCTACATGGGTACAGAATCCCAAGGCTTTGGGCTGTCCTCGACTGCTTTCCCAGGCCACAAGCAGGGAGCTGGATAGGAAGCGGGGCTACCAGGATTAGAACCAATGCCCATATGGGATCCGGGACTTTAGCCACTAGGCTACTATGCCAGGCCCACTCTCTGTAATTATTTAGATAGATAATTTCTAAAAATAGATACTTGGGCTCAGTGTGATGACCCAGTAGGTAAACCCTCACCTTGCATGCGCTGACATCCCATATGGGCATTTCAGATTGGCTCATCTCCAACTGTTGTGGTCACTTGGGAAGTGAACCAACAGATGGGAGATCTTTATGTCTCTCCTTCTCTCTGTAAATCTGCCTCTCCAATAAAAATGAATAAATCTTTAAAAAAATAATAAAAATAAGGATACTCTAGGTATTCTAGAGATGATTTAAAGTAGATGAGAGGAAGTCTTCGGTTTATAGCCAACCCCACAACATTACAGAAAGGGACTGAAACTATGGTACAATGTAATTCTGGCATCCCATATGGGCACCAGATCAAGTAACAGCTGTTCCATTTCTGATCCAGCTCCTTGTCAATGTGCCTAGGAAAGCAGTACAGGATGGCCTAAGTCCTTGGACCTGTGCACCTTTGTGGGAGACCTGGAAAAACCTCCTGGCTTCTGGTTTTGGATTTGCCCTAGTCCAACTGTAGTGGCCCTTTAGGAAGCGAGCCAATGGATGGAATACCTTTTTTCTCTCTGTCCCTCTGAAATTTATTTATTCACAAATAAATAAATCATTTTTTAGAAGAAATGAATGTGAGTGTCCATGGATATCAAGTCCCCACAGAACCTGAGGAACAAGTGTATCCGTAGTATGGGAGGATGCTAAAAACGTGCTGTTACTGGTATCCATCACCTGTCAGAACATATGCCTAACCAATCCTAAGGGATTGTCATTTATTGTGTGTATGTATGCATATGTGTATGAATACATAACATACATCATATATATGTGATGTAGGTGACATGTATTTTATCTGTTAAGCTGAATGCTTTGCAAATGGCACTATTCAGACATTTTAATGTACAAAAGTAACCATTTTATAGGGCTCCACTTAATGATGTACTTAATGAAGGTAAGCAGAAATGTATTTCATGATACATTTTTGAAAAATGGGAAACGGACCAGGGAGAGGGGACATATTGAGGATGGGAAGAAAAATCACTTAGGGCAGGAAACGCCAGTGACTAAGGAACCACATGGGGAAATGGCGCTAGTTTCAGCTGAGCTTCCCACACTTTCCCAGTGCGGGCTGTGCATCCACTCCACCTGTGCCATCCTTCCCTTTTTGCAAAGACCAACTATCCTTTTAACTTAAATTTATTGTAAGAGGCGCAGCCATGAGTGGAAAATCAATACCTCTTGACACAGATAGAAGATGCCCATAAAGGGCAAATCCAATGCAGACAAATAAAGACCAAGTTAGGTGGCCTTCCAGCTGCATGCTGAGCTGCCAGTCCACGGCCAAGAGCCAACGACCAGCGTCAGCTCCAAGGCTGGTGCTTCCAGCTGCAAGTTGAGAATGCCCCCTCATGCCCACTCCTCAAGACCAGGCTTAGGGTTGAGAATTCCCCAGAGGCAGTCACGGAGCTGCTAGCCTGGCAGTTTTCTTGCTTATCAGTCATCCGTGTGTCTTCCCTGTAATGAAGGGTCTCAGGCAGCCTGGCTGTGTGGACAGCGAGGTTTGCTCATGGTCACAGCTCTGGGGATGGGCATCCACCTCTGAGGAAAGCACTCTTACTGGCGGAGTCCTGAGGTAGCAAAGGGCGTTGCTTAGTAACAGACAGGAAGCACCTGTGCGTCTCTTTCACTGCAAATCCACCAGATTTCATCCCATGCTACGGTTGGGCCCAATCTATTATTTGGGTTTTATTTTTTTAAAAGATTTATTTATTTATTTGAAAGGTAGAGTTAACAAAGAGAGAGAGTGAGAGAGATCTGTAAACACTGGTTCACTCCCCAAATAGCCACAGTGGCTGGATGGAAGTGGGCAGATTTGAAGCCAGAAGCCAGGAACTTCTCACAGGTCTCTGATGTGGATGCAGGGATTCAAGCGTTGGGTCATCCTCCTCTGCTTTTCGAGGTACATCAGCAGGGAGCTGGACTAAAAGTGGAGCATCCAGAACACCAGTCATCACTCACATGGATTTCAGTATTGCAGGCGGCACCGCCTGAATCCAGTCGAATCACCCAAGGCTGCACCTACAAGCATCAAGATTGAATTTGGTACCATTAGCATGGGACTTCAGAGCCTAAACTCCAAAGTCAGTGATGGTGGGGACAATTTCAAATCACCGAATGGTTTATTTTATTATTATTTTTTCAAGACAGATATACATAGAGAAGGTGATACAGAAAGAGCTTCTGTCTGCTGATTCATTTCCAAATGGCTGCAACGGCCAGAGCTGAGCTGATCCAAAGTCAGGAGCTTCTTCCTGGTCTCCCACATGGATGTAGGGTCCTAAGGCTTTGGGGCATCCTCTACTACTTTCCCAGGCCACAAGTAGGGAGCTGGAAGGGAAGTAGAACAGCTGGGATTAGAAGCGGTACCCATATGGGATGCCAGTGCATGCAAGGTGAGAACTTTAGCCAGTAGGCTGCCACACTGGGCCCCACAGAATGGCTTATCACAACAGAAAGAAAATAATTAAAAGCAGCCGAAGAACCTTCGGTCCACTCTTGGGAGAGCTGGCTGATGTCTCCTAACTAATGACTAACGACACACATGGAATATTCTCTACCTTGAATACACACTCAAAACTTGGGGTCCAGGCTTTTTTTGAGGGGGTCAATCATATGGACAGAGTTGACCACTT